GACACAATTACACGTTACAACATGTCCTTACTATAGCAATAACAGTAAATTATGCATAATTACAAGTAACTAAACCAAACCGTAACCGTAACTCCATAGTAAGTACAATGTAACTACGCCAACTTAAAAATAAAGGTCACACTTTATTTTAAGGTGTCATTGTTACAGTGTAATTATTAGTTGCATGTAATTATGCATAATTTATTGTTATTACTATGGCAAGAACATGTTACATATGTAACAAGGACACTGTAAAATAAATTGTACCCAAACAAAGTGTAACCAAATATTTATATGAACTCAAGGAGCTATACTTTCTATAGTGATATTTCTGTGTTTGTAACTTGAATTGAAAAAATGTAATGTAAAAATGCCTATGTCAGAATGTGTTAATTATACCTTGTACCACTGTACCATGAAGAAACATATTAGATTGCACAAGTAAATGTAATTTTACTGTAAAAAAGAAAAAAGAAAAAAAAGAAAAATTAGGCAAAGAAATATATATTTAAAAAGAGAGTATAGGTACTTTTACATTTAAAATTGTTAAAATATGTTTCAGTTAAAAGTGAGTAACTATAATTTACATAAAAAAAAAAAAAACAGTAAAAGTACATTCCCAGTAGTCTGAGTGACACATGACATTTGGTAATATTTCATTGAAATAAACTAAGTAAAAAATAAAATAATAAAAAAAAGTTGCTGCCTTAAAAGTTTGAAGTACAATCGACTTGGATGTTTAAGTTATTTCAACTTAAATATCATTAAACTGACTTGAAATATCGTCTAACTTATTAAAAAAAAAGTTTAAAATTGCTTATTTTGCTGAGTTGAAGCACTGTAAAAAGTAAAAACATGTTGTAATAACTTATTGATCATATCATTTTTTTACAGTGTTTTGTTTATAGTACAGGGTTTTTATGTTACATTTATGTTACATAAATGTTGTTTAATTAATAGTTTGTAATGCCTGAAACATTATACCAGATTATTACAGTGATTCTTTTTTTCCAGTGAACATAGTCAGCTGTTATCATAAAGCTTCAGGTAAATTGACTAAACAAACATTTTTGTGTAAATTTCAAATATTCCATTTGAAAAAATATTCAGTAATGATGTCACTTTTTTGAAATAACATAATATTGTTGCAGTTTCTGGGTGTTTTAGCGGAATGCAACAGCATTATTAACTACTAAATCCTTGCACATTCTCCAAGCATTATCATGGTGGGAGGAGACTGATTTCAGCTCCAATCTGTTTCTATTGTAATCACTGCACTTGATGCCTGAACCAGAAGAAGACATGGAGAGTGAGAGAGAAATGGAAGCAGGGAGAGAGAGAGAGAGAGAGAAAGAGAGAGAGAGGGTGACCTGAGAGAGGTGAGAGGTTGGGGGTGATGGTGCACTTACAAAATTCATCAATCCAGCGTATGCAAGTCCATGTGTGCATCACTGCCTGGCATGCTGGGAAACCGAGGTCTTCCCACACTCCCCCAAGAAAACCAACGCTGGACAAGACAAGTCAGCACTATCAAAGTCTACAGACTGTGACCGAAGACAAATACACCAACACTCCCATTCCAGATTATTAACTCATCAATCTGAGCTCTCAGCACAAGACCCGATGTGTCCACAGCTGGTTAAAGGACAAATATCTCCACTCTAAGCAACTTTGAAATCTCAGTCTGTGATATGCATTATTCTAATCTTCTCTTAGGTCAAGTTTCAACCTTGCATGCTCAACAACAACAGCACCCAAAAATGCACCTACACCCCACCGTTGAGAGCTCTTAATATAAGAAAACATGGCTAACATTGAGAATTTCTATGAACAATCCCGTAACCCCTCTTTGAAGTTGATACTATCAGAACTGAGAAAGATCTTAAACGTGATATCATCGCAAAGATTCGGCATTTAAGTGCCAAACAGTCCCAGATCTATTGATACACGTGTTGTTCCAACCCCTTCCAAGCAGTTGATATATTTAGCACGAGTGTGGAGTTCAAGACACGACCACGGTTTTACAATTAGGGAGGACGAGGTAAGATAATGATGAACGTCCCTCCATAATAACTAACGTAATAACACCCAAACATAAATAAGGGCACTTTTTGACACGAATTACAGGAAAAAATCCGTCCACTGAGATCTCCCCGCGGATAACATGACGACACCGAACGTGTGTTATGTATTGGAAGCGTGAGGTATGTGTGTGTGTTTAGCACAGCTTTTTCCCCGAGCCCTCAGTTCCGGCAGAAGGATCGAGAAAGAAAAACAGCCCTGTGTCTTGTTGCCGGACTGGAGCGGCGCACACAGAACACATGGTCCCAATTTCACGGCTGTGGATAGAGAAGTGCGGGCGGATGCGGGGGCAGGAACAAGCATGCAATCTGCAGGCATTAATACCTCAGTAATAGTCACATTCGCTTAAAACCAGGAAACAGTTTTTTCTTTCCTCAACACACACACATTCACTCTCTCTCTCTTTGAGTGGCTGAAGTGCTGCAGATTGTGCTAAACAAATATAATGCAGAGAGACGAGCCCATGTCCTGTTTCCTTTGCGTACCTGCAGTCTTAATGAGTGGCGTTACAGTAAACCGGACATGTGCTTTAGGACTCGCACGCGTCTGGCCCAGGACAGGAAACGTTCCTGTTTTCCCAACTGCAACGGGCTGTTCTGGGGAAGTTGACGGACAACTTGAATTTCCAAAATGCGGTCTCGGAGACCAGCGTGTAATTACCGGACAGGAAGCTGCTTTTACCCGGGGTTTTGTGTTTTCCTGCTGGTGTAACCGCAGTGCCCGGCCCTGGCCTGCGTCGTGAGCGTTAAAATGGATTTAAAGGAGGTCAAATGACAGGATATGATAAGGGCTTTAGTGCCTGTGAGGGTTTTAATAAAATCTAAGCCTGCGCTTTGAACTGTGTCTCAATTATAACCTATCAATGATTCTCCAATGGCCCCCCGGGGTCCCTCAGGCTTCTGTGTAGTATTATGGAAAGCATGACTTCTGGGTAGTAAACACTTCAACTGTGCGGATGTAAACAATACAGCAGGAACGGTTCCAGGATAGTGTGACTGGGGGGGCATTACGGAAAAACTTGGAAGGGCAGCATTATATTGCAATTGTTGGCAGGGCTTGGTAACTGATTATATGGGTTCTGGATTACGTAATCAGATTCCAAAAATGAAGTACTTGCAATTAGATTATATTAGCACAAGTAGAATCTGGGGGGCATTGAGCCTCCAACCCCACTCTGCAATACAGTCTCGAAATTTCTGGGTCAATGAATGCCGTTTCCACACAGAGATAACCTACAGGACATGCACATTTGCTAACATGAATGCTAAGAACATGTAAGTTTGCAATAGATATGTATATTTGCCCACAGTTTGCTAATAACATGCACGTTTACTAACATGAATGCTAAGAACATGTATGTTTGCTATCGTTTAAAGAACATGTGCTAACAGTTTGCTGAGAACGTGTATGTTGGCTACCGTGTACGTGTGTAATGCAAGAACAGGCACGTTTAATAACATAATGCTAACTTGTATTGTGTCAGCTTCTTTAAAACTTTGCAAAGTAATTATTACACTGAAATTTGAAGAAAGTAAGCCATCACTGCTCATTTTAGTATGTGCATTCTGGATTTCTGTCTGTACTATTTATTGTTACAGTATACATAAAGGCAACCGTTGAGCGGTAAAGCCAGGCGCTGCCAGTTTAGCGTGGCATATGAGAGGGGCCTCGAGTTTCAAAGAGGTCAGATAAGCTTGTCGAATGAGGTGCACACAAGGTTTTGTTTGATCCTCAAACATCACCACAAATATCAAAGCTTCTGCCCACCCCTGCAATTTGGAGCCAGAAGGCAAGACTTACATGCATTTTCATCTACACCCATGAGACACTGTTTTTATTCTCAGGTTAAGGCTTTCTAACTATCTCTGTGTCGTAGAAGTTATTAATTACAGGATACGAATGTGAATAGGTCTACAGTGCGGACGTATAAAGGTTATATTGTCCATAATAAACAACATGTGACCTGCGGAATTGAGAGGCAAGGCAAGGCAAGGCAAGGCAAGGCAAGTTTATTTATATAGCACATTTCATACACAATGGTAATTCAAAGTGCTTTACATAGGAGGAAATAATTAAAACAGTTTAGAATAAAAAATAAAATAAAGTACAGTAAAAACAGTCGGACGAACATTGGCACAGTGCTCATTCAGTAAATGCATAGCTAAACAGATGTGTTTTGAGTCTGGATTTGAATGTGACTACTGTAGGAGCACATCTGATCTCCTCTGGAAGCTGGTTCCAGCTGCGGCTGGCATAATAGCTAAAAGCAGACTCTCCATGCTTAGAGCGAACCCTTGGTATTTCTAGCTGATGTGATCCTAATGATCTGAGTGATCTGTTGGGTTTATATTCAGTGAGCATATCTGCAATATATTGAGGTCCTAGCCCATTGAATGATTTATATACCAGTAATAATACTTTAAAATCAATCCTAAATGTAACTGGGAGCCAGTGTAAAGACCTGAGGACTGGTGTGATATGTTCAAATTTTCTGGTTCTGCTCAGAATCCTGGCAGCAGCGTTCTGTATGAGCTGCAACTGTCTTTTTAGGAAGGCCAGTGAGGAGTCCATTACAATAATCCACCCTGCTGCTGATAAAAGCATGCACAAGTTTCTCTGAGTCTTGACTGGAAACAAAGCATCTATTCTAATTCTTGCAATATTTTTCAAATTATAGTATGCTGATTTAGTTATTGCTTTGACATGACTACTGAAACTAAGGTCTGACTCTAGAGACACACCAAGATTCCTGACTTGATTTTTAGTTGTTAGACCCCTAGCGTCAAGGTATAGAGGAAGTCCTTAATGTAATATACCTGCATTACAAATGGTTTTCCTATAAGTGCTAATGGCATTAGCATGAACTGAAAAGGCACGGTTCATGGTTCATCTGCTGATTTCTTTTTCCTCAGGTGCAGAAAGTTCACTCATATGATGCTGACCCCCGTTTGGCAGGGTGATGGGTGAGGGCCAGCTTTCACATACGGAGCCCAGTGTGGAGAGCCAGCATGGGGGTAATTAAAACAAACTGCCAATGCTTTTTTAGCCTGAGCCAAACAAACGCCGTCAAGTGTGTGTGGTGCTCTCGAGCATGTTGTTGGTTGCCGGCGCTACAACGAGAGGTGACAGTTGGGCTAGCGATCGTGAGGACATGCTAGACTGTCAGATTCACATGAGACAGCACACAGTATGTTTGCTTAAATGCTCAGACAGAAACCGCGTCTTCACCTTAAGATGTGTTTGCTCAGCCTTTGGTTCAACATTAATCTTATTTTCTCACACTCTGCAGGAAAGCCATGGCTTTTGTTAAAGGGGGAAGGTTGAAATCTTCCAGAGATGCGCTCAACCTGTTCACCACCTAGGTTCAGCTGGACGGTTGGCAGGGTGACAGCGTGGCTGGCACTGTCAACTGTCTGGGCCAATTTTGTCTATAGGCTAGCTGGAGATGCTAACAGATTGCGTCAGCTTCTTCAGCACTAGATTAGAACACAAGCATTTGCTATCACAAGCTAAAAAAAAAAGAAGTCTTTGTCCATTTTCACTGTTTCCACAGTGATAACCTACAGAAGATGCACATTTGCTAATATGGATGTTAAGAACATGTATGTTCGCAAAAAGTATGTATATTTGCTAACAGTTTACTACTAACATGAATGCTAAGAACATGTTTGCTAACGTTTGTTATGGACATGTGCTAACAGTTTGCTAATAACAAGCACGAATGCTAAGAACACGTATGTTTGCTAACATTTGTTATGAACATGTGATAACAGTTTCCTAAGAACAAGCACATTTATTAACATGAATGCTAAGAACATGGCTACCATGTACGTTTGTTAACTTGTATGCTACGTTTAATAACGTGAATGCTAACCTGAATCATCCGTCATACACTACACGAGTTTCTCTAAAATGAGTCGACTCTGATGTCCAAAATCTGCAGACAGTCTATTACTTTCAGCAACTATCGACTCCTCCAGACTGCAAATTAGAGACAAAAGTGGTTGTAGTGTATTACACCCTTAACTGGTGTGAAAAGGCTACATTGCTATTTGTCAAGTATTTTCCTTCATTTTTAGTCAGTTGGTTCTTTTAGTTGGTTTAGAATAAATTAGAAAGTAAAGATGAGTCCCTGTGTCCACTACTCTCCTGGGTCCTTTCCAATACATTCATTTTAGTGACTCGTTTTGTTCAGACAATCAAAATGAATTGGCTCAAAAAGATTTGAGTCCTTATGTTCACAACTCACCTAGAATTTATTTTCTCTCTGTATTCATTTTAGTGACTGGGTTCATTTTAGACGGTTCAAAAATAATTGGTGCAAAAATATTTGTTTCCCTACGCCCACTACTCTCCATGAATGTACTTTCTCTTTTCACTGGTTTACTGAATCAGATCATTCAGTTGGTTTGATATGGCTTGGTTCATAAAGATTGGTGGGGCCAATTGGCATATTTGTGGAACCACGTATACTAAATGAGGCAAGGGTGTAGAGTCACATTCAAGCTATTTTAAGGCATGAAGAAATTTATTTTCTAGGAAAAAACATTTACATATGTAATTTTGCTGATCAAAGATGAGTTTTAAGGGATAGAATTATTTTGTGCCAGATAAATAAATACCACAAAAAATAATGTGTGTATATATATAATTTGTGTGCACCTTATAAACTAGAAACACACACAGCTTCATAATTTTCAGAGACCCTCCTCAGCCTGAAGCGAAACATGAACAGATAGCGGGAGGCAAACGGTCTCAATCCAGCCACACTGTCCCTCATTGTTCAGGCTCTGAGAGGCCATTAGGCTCCACAGAGGGCCGTCAGAGAGGCTCTTTCTCTGTGGATGGAGGGGTGCATTGGTAAAGGACAGCTCTGAGAAGGGCAGCAGTGTCCTGGGCAGCAGGCCTCGGCTTTGATGGGGCCAAGTCAGGCTTTGGCTGCATTCCTCGCATGTCTCCCTGGTTTCCCTCTACCACATTACGACCTCCAGTCTAAACAAACAAGCTGCTCTCGAAGGCCCAAACCCTACCCTAAAATATAGGCCTTCCATTTTTAAAAGCAGGAACACATATTCTTTGTTTCCGTGCCCACAACCAAAGTTGTTCCACATGTCCCTGTTTCTAAACTCTTGTCACTTGCCACATTTCGTATGGAGATGTTCACCTCGGATGATGCTGAAATGAAGAGAAAGACTCGCTGTGTAAAGTTGATGTGGCCGGCCACTGAAAATCAATGAACATTAAAAAGTGTTTATTAGATTATTTTTTTCTCTCTCTCTCTCTCTCTCTCAAAAATTCTCAACATTTCCTCCCACTTGGGTTATTATGCCAAGATGGTGTGGCAAATTTCATTTAAAAGGAGAAACTGAAATGGTTTTATAGGCCATCTGGAAAAAATGAATCTATTCGCAACTTTGAAAAACAAACTCATTTCTTATAGAGTGAGTGCTAAAACAGGCAACCGCAATGACTTCAGTTTAACTCGCAAACAAAAGAGGCAACACAAGAGAAGCAAGATGTATTACAATCATGTTTCAAAGAGATTTCAGAAGAAAAATAGATACTAAGGCAAAAACAACTTTCATACAATTAAAGTGAGGGTATAATTGCCCATGTGACTTTTGTAAGATTTTCATTCTGTTTTTTTTATTTTATATTATATTATATTATACTTGGGAAAATACAATATTGGGCATATTTCTTAGTGATATCATTAAACCAAACCCTGAGGCAGTTATGCACAAAGGAGCAATGACTATGGTTAAATACCCTCTGATTGCTGACTGCAGACCCTGAAAGGAGAGACAAGAGGGGGGAAGCCAATGAACCGTCCCTGTTTTTAGTGGAGACAATGACCTGAAACAAACCTTATGCGTGACATGATGAATAGTGTCATCATGACCAATAGTGTCATTCTCCAAGGGTAAGGTTGTGAGAATGGTGAGATTGACATTGCCCTTTTGTGCAGGCCTAGAACATGATCTTCCCATCATAAAAACTTTGACCATCAGAGGACCAGCTGCAAAACTGTTTTCAGATCAGCAGGCAAAGGGAAACCCATAATTTGAGTAAATGAATTGCTTTTAAGGGATTCAGTAATCACCAAGTTCACCAAGAATGTTTTTATAAGGATTTCAAATTTTATTGACGAAAAACAAATAGCTCAGCTGAGCGTCACTGACATTAGCCGCTTTTCCATTACAGATTTGCGCAAAACTTTTGCGATATTTTCTAAATTCTAAAATGACGGCGTTTCCATTGACCGATGTTATGCGACAAAAACGTTTTTCTTTTCTCTAGCGATAAGTCATTCCAAAAATCATGGCAACGAATGTTGGTAGGTTTAAGTATATCGCAGCAAATTTTATATTTTTATAATAAAATTTTTTTTTTAAGTATTTCGCAGCCACCGCACTAGCCATTATTTTCAATAGAAGGAGACGTAGGTGTGTTATAAGGAAAGCCCCTTATACTGGGAGTGGGCGCGTATGAGGTGTTTCTGGGTGTTTCTCCCTAATATCTGCTTCAAGATCTTGATAAATTGTGGCATTTCTTTGTTGTTTAGAATCCCGTAATTCCTTTGTGTTTTACAAGTTTAATAAAGAACTTTTTGTCTCGTCTTCTGTCCAAACATACCGCGGCATCTTTAAGGAATGATCGACTGCTACGTATGCCAGGTGACCTGTAAATGTGAAAAAAACAAAAACGTTTCCATTGCTTTAGCAAAATATTCCTTTTTCGAATTACCTGAAAAGCCACCTCATGCAAACGTAAAAACTTAATGACGTGTTTCCATTGGGCGTATTTGCAATGCGCAATTTCAATTTGCTCAATTTGAAGGGTAATGGAAACGCGGCTACTGACATTAATTTCGCAAAAAAAACATACTATGTCCAGTCTTGGGGGTAACACATTACAAGTAACGCGAGGTATGTAATCAGATTACTTTTTCAAGTAACTAGTAAAGTAACACATTACTTATATATTTATAACAATGTATGTAACTTTTTCAAATAAGTAATGCAAATTAGTTTGTTTTCTTGTTGAACCAAGAGTGTTGCACTTTCTTCTTCTGCGATTCAAAATGGCTGCACAGCTGAAAGGTTTGTTTGAGTTGTCTCTTTTGTACAGGCGAGAATTTGCATTTCCTCCAGCCTGAGGATTATTTATTTCACTTTTGATGTGAAAGGGCCTTTACATTTAAGCCCAGATGAGAAAAATTAATGCAAAGGTAACATAACGCATTACTTTCTAGAAAAAGTAACTAAGTACTTTTTGCAATATTGTAATTAAATAAAAGTAACTTTCCCCCACAGTGCTGTCCTTAAACATACTGCTGCCCACTTATGAATTGGAGGAGATATTAAAAGCCAAAGTTACAAAATTTGTGTGATTTTTTGCTTACTAATGCTGATTTTTCTGAAACCACTAATATTGCAGTGCTGACACTGTTTGTTTAAGCGTCCTGAGCAGCCTGACACAACAACCGATTGTGTGATTTTGGGGCGGGACTAATGACCAATGACCAATGGCAGACGGGGGAATATTCGAAAAAACTTGTTTGAAAACAAATACGTTTAGAATAATATTTTTTGTTTAGTTTGGTGATGCAGAAATTACTCACTCCACTTTATTAGAAGAAATTAAACAAACTAACAATAAGCAAAACTGTCACTGTCATATTCATTTATGTTTATATTTGGCATAAAAGATGTTTGACAATGATGATGGAACTTTTTCACTTTCATCTTCCTTTTTCATTCATTATGAGTTATTATACATGTCATTTTATCTCTGTCCTTCTCGGTCTGCACAAAGCGCATATTTGCATGCAAATGGGAGCATTTTAAGTTAAACAAATAAAGTCATTTACATAAAGCTAGGCTAATGAAATCTTGCTTTGTTTCTTCAGGTTTTCTGAGGTCTCTTTTCCTTTTGTTTCTGTCTAACATTCTTACCACCTCCTGTCGGCCAGCTTCCGCTCCTATAGCCTTGAGGAACATCTATATTGTCTCTCCGTCTCAATCAAGCACACAGTCTCTTTGTCTCTCTGTCCATCAGGTTCAATTCTGAAGCAAGTGGTACTGACATCTATGTCTCTCTCAAACACACACACACACACACACACACACACACACACACACACACACACACACACACACACACACGCACGCACGTCTGTCACACTCTAGTGATTTCAGGGAACCAGCTGCAATAAAACTGTCTTAAAGCTCACATATTAATCACTTTTCCTATTTGGGCTTCGTGACTAAATTAGTGTAATGGAAAATCAAGCAGAAATGAATCACATTAATTAAGAATCATAAACCAGGAGTCTAAAAAACAGTTATAGTTTCCTAAACGTTGCACAGTTTTCTAGCTTTTTAACCTTTTTCACATTTTAGCACAGTTTCGGAGAACAATAGGTACAAAAATAACATGATGAAATGTGAGAAATATTTTAAAGGATATATATATATATATATATATATATATATATATTAAACAAACAGTTGAGTTCCAAAAGTCTGAGAGACTATATTGAAAATGTAGGATTCCAAATCAAATCATGTAAATTTACTCATATAATAATTAGTTTAGCCAATTGAAATAATCTGTAATTGTAGAATAATATTATATATATATATATATTATTTATAGTACATTTATAATATTATATATATATATATATATATTAAATTTATAATAAATTTATAATAAAATCAAATTGTGCCATTAATCATGTGAAGTCTACAGACAGTCATACATTCTTGAAGCATTATTCTCAAATCATGCTAGATAACATGACCATCAGGTTATATAAAGATAATTATATTAGCGTTCACACCAGCGGATGATATCGTTCTGTTTATTCTAAGCGGGTGCTTGTCTATCACTTTAAATGCTCGAGTTTGTTAAAGCAGGATGGATTCTGATTGGCTGTCAATGTTTTTATGGTTCATCAGGTGGATAAAATCGTTCTGAAAGTGATTTCAAATTTCCAGTGTTATCATTTCTCTGTGCCATTATCGTTAAAGCTGTGGTGTGAACTCTGCTATTGTTTAATATTGAGACCGATTTTTATAACTATATCTTTATCGTTATCTTTATAGTTATCGTCCTTGGTGTGAACGGGCCTTTACACAAACTCAAGTTCATGCAGCTTGAGCACTGCTTTTATTACTGAAAAGGACGACTTACCAAACAAAATGAAATATAAAAGTATATATTTGGATTAATGGGTGGGAAGGAAGAGGCTCTCAACAGCATCAGATCGTGACCCGCCCCGGTCCAGCCACACCAGCAAGGAGCCCTAAACCCTCTCATCAACAGCTATATGACAGGCCTCATCCCACAGAACCACGATTCGGATTGACATCTCAATGAGGGGGCCGGTGCCAGTCTTTTACAAGCGCCATTTCACGGCTGTGCTCTTTGTCCTCTACCCCCCACTCCACCCCACCGGGTAGAGACCAGCCCTTTCTTTTTCGGAGAGAGAGAGAGAGAGAGAGAGAGAGAGAGAGAGAGAGAGAGAGAGAGAGAGAGAGAGAGAGAGAGAGCTACGACGGGCAGATACAGGGAGGGCCTCTCGTCATGCCCCACTGCCCCTCAATCGGTGTCTGAGTCATTGCCCACAAAAACTGGCTTGCTCCATATACCTCATTTTTGCATATGAATGAGCGGCCCATTGTCCGGCCTTAAATGCACATTAAACCTGTCTGGAAACAATCGAGAGGAGGCGCACACTTTTTCCCCACCTTAATAAACTAATTAATTGGACATATGAGATTTAGGAGAGGAAGAACATCTTGGCGTTGTTTATTCCAGTGCTTCCTTAACCAACGGCAAGTGTCCCACATAAAGGAAAGGATGTTTATAGTTCTGCCAAGAGTATCTCAGTGTCTTTGTACAGAGGCCAAACTGAGACCTCTGGCTTTTGTCTACATAAGAGGGGTTGAACAGACCCATCCAGCCAGGCAGACCGTTGCCGAGACACTTTCGCCGTGTCTTGCCCTGCAGGCCTGCCCTTTGCTCTGGCCTGGAGACCAGACATTGGAGATGGGCCGAGCTCAGGCAAACCAGGTCAGCTAAGATCTGAGAGAGAGCAAAGTGCATGTCCAAAAAAGAGTGATTAGAGATATCAATAGGCATTTGCATTGACTCACACCATTGACTTGCTCTGGTCAGCTTTCTTGTCAGCCTTGTTCGGGCCGTGTTGAGTATTGTCGGTTCACTTCATCCACACAGAATCTCGGAAAATATATTATGATTGATGCAGGTGTGTAAAGTTCTACAACCCAAATCCAATCTGTTTTAAGGCATCCAGAAGTGAAAACTTTGCCATCATTTAGCTGCCCTCTTGTCATCCCAAACTCATTTGGACAAGATATTTTTCACTAGATACTTTGACAAACCGTTCAGTTGTTTTGCCCATATCCAGTGAAATTATTGGACCAATTAATGGGTCCAAAAATGTCAAGCTTTAAAGCTCATATCAATTCTGAACAGTGATAAACATCAAATGTGTCTGTGTATGCGTGCACCAAAACTCAACCAGGAAACCTCATTGGTTCTCGCACAACTCGTATCAATTCAGAAGACAATACTCCAGCTAGTTCCTGCTACATTTATGTCCTTTTTTAGCTTGAAAGTTTTGGATCCTATTGACTTTATTAATATGGACATAAGCTGAAAAATTCTTCAAAATATTTTCTTTTGTATTCTGCAGTTATGAGTTTGGTATGACATGAGGGTGAGTAAATGATGAGAGAATTTTCACTTTTGGACGAACAAACCCTTTAAATGAGGGGTTCTAAATTATACGCCTTTCCATGATGTGCACAAAGACTCAGAGACGGATAGTTAAACATGGAAAGGGAATGCTTCGGATACCCTTCATCTGCGTACAAAGCTAAAAGAGGACCAAGACTGAGAACATCTAATCTCTGGTTTTCCAGGACCTTTTCTCAGAGTTAGCGGTTTTGCTAAAGTACAGGGACTAAGATGTGAACGTCAACAGTCCAGACTGGACATATAGAATACAGAGTTTTTAAAAGTGGCTTTGCATCTTAAAATCCAACAAATAGTCATTAGCCCTGCATTGTTCACCACCTACAGCGTGATCTGCAAAATCTACAAAATCTGCCATTGCGCTCTATGAAGAGATTTCTGTAAAGATGTGAATCACCAGAGCCGCTAGTCTCCAGCTAATTTTTGTGGCGTGCCCCATGTTGGGCTTTGTGTCCTGGCTCTAACTGCTTGGCTCCATCCCACATGCAGAGGTCCTTCAGGGCCAGCGTCCCAGAGGGGGACTCCATCTCTAGCCTCCAACAGCCGTCATCTGCCCAGTGGGGTTTGTTTGTACTCGCTCCGAGCAGGAGCTCCGCATTTCTCCTTACACAATGTCCGGCCCCGCCGATTCGGGGCTCGGGCCAAGATGCCCTCAGCGTCGTATGGTAAGTAAGGAGCCCCGGGGGCCTCTTCGTGGAGCTCCTGACGGCCCAGCTGCGCATAAGATTCCTCATCTTTCGTGCTCATTCTTTTAATTAGACAATCTGAGAAGTAGCTCTCAGAGGGACACCTCCACCTTCTCAAAAAACCCTGCATGCTCAGAGAGGTGGCGGTCCGCATGTGAGCCCCAAGCTCATATACATAATCTCGCCACATACCTCCACCCCCCCTCCACCCATCCTCATTTCAATAGCGCTCCCCTCCTTCACCCCTCAGATACTCAAAAGGAACCCACACCTCCCATTTCCAGGAGCCTGTGGGCGCAGTGAGAAAATGAAGACCTCTGCGCCCCTCCAAATCCCCAGGAATTTCTCATTAAGAGCAGGTCCTGGGCTCCTGAGGACCCCCGGGTTCCCCTCCGCACCCCCCGCTCCCTCAAGAAGTCGACCCTCTCGCCCGACTAGAATGGACTACTCCAGTCCACTTTGTGTCGGGCGGCTGTTTCCCTGTGTGTGTTATTCATCTCGCTCCCATTCTCCAGGCACAAGAGGCTTTCCCCGCCAATGGTGCTTTGAAAGTCCTCAAGACTTCCTCTTCTTTTCACCACATTTTTTATGTGTGTGCATGTGCGCAAGTCAGTGTCCGTAATGAAAGGCCCGGGCTCTGGATAGCACAGAATAGGGGTAATTGAAATTACTTCTTTTTTTTTTACGGTCTCCCGTGATAGGAAGCGGGAGTTGCTTCATCAAGACAGTTCTTAGGTTTTGTGCCTTGCTTGGCATTCAGCTACAGGCTGTTTTATTGACGGGCGAGTGCTTCGGTGAGGAGAACAAGAGTGTACTTTAGTGCGAGCCGGGACGCAGTCAAGAACAGTTATGTTTTTATTTCTCTGTGGCTTACAATCATATCAGCTCAATGCTAAAGTGTTGAATGAGTATGTTTAAACAGTATGAACAATATGGTTTAACATAAACTGATAAGATAAAAGTAGATCTTAGCGAAGAAGTGGGAACTCCCTGTAAGGAGATCGCAAGAAAATTAAACAAATTCTATGAATAAACATCAATATATGCTGACCGTGTAAATTCTTATAAGTAACAGTTTTCACTCCAGAATCGTTGTAGTGCGGCCTGCAGGTATTTCGTCTATGAAAGAGCGATTGACTCCATCTAGTGGAGAGAATGACTGCCTGAATGTGAGTCCATTTGAAACTCACTCGAAATCATAACCCAACACAAGACAGGACGTAACCCTACTCAAGAGCTTAAGACGACATTTGTTACAGTCAGTTGGATCAAGTGTAGCATGCAAAATATAATTTCCTCATTCACATGAAGTCAAATTACAAGTCCAAACTTGAATTGTTAACTGTATTATTGTATCATTTACGTTCCTCGGACAAGAAGTGAGGAGTTTGCAGTGCATTTAGTTTGTGTAAGTCTTTGTGCTGTAAATCTACAGTCTTTGTTTACACAGGATGCACAATAAAACTTCGAGTGACTCATTTATGTTTCTCAACCACTCATGGTTTTATTTGCCATTCGTGCTATCATTCAATACACTGGGCTGTTTAAAAAGTTGAGTAAGGGAGGATGTGGAAAAGAAGGAAAGCAGTGAGACAGATAGAAAGCAGGAGAGAGCTGTCACAAATGAAGACAGCTGTCAGCTGGGATGCATGGCAGGGCTCAGAGGTTAAGGAGGAAAACAACGGGGGTGGACAGTGGAATCTCAAACATCAGGAAAAGACACACAGACTCAGACACACGGGCCTCCGGAACTCTCTTTGAGAGATGGATGGGTACAACCAGACACCTTCAGCAGATCAGCTGGTGTATGGTATAGCTTAACGCACAGGATGGCCTCTATATCAACATGAGGACAACTGATGGCCCTGTCCTAAATGCCACTCCATATTTGTGGTGGAAATGCCACATAGACTGCTGGGAAGTAGTCCGATGCTTCAGTCCAGACTTCGCAAAAAGAGAAAAAGAATCATAAAATGATAAATGTATCATTACGGGCTGTAGACCCGCATAGACATGCATGAGCAAATGCAAATCCACATCAAGTGTATCATTTGGAACAGGGCCCAGGGAAGGAAGCTTCTTAAATTCTTTCGTTGAGTTGTGCTGCCCTCTGCCAGTAATATTTGTTAATACATTTGATGGTTTGTTAAACTCCCCCTATAGTCAATAATTGTATCCCTTAAAACTCGTCTTTGATCCCCAAAATGACATAGAAAAAAAATTGTTTGTTAAAAATTAAAAATAAGAATTATTCCTTCGTCATGCCTTAAAATAGCTTGAATGTAACTCTACTCTTGCCTCATTTTGTATACGCGGTTTTATGAATATGCAAAATAGCCCCGCCTCCACTCACTCACAGCAACTCAGAGATCCACTCGTTGACGATCACACGTTGACCTGATTGGTTGCAAGGTAGTTTGTGACGTCAGAAACACCCAGCGATTTCAAACTGCGTTTTTGAGACTGTCTTTGGGTATTTGGTTCACTGCCGTTTTAAGGAGAAAATACTCAAGCAATGGTGTTGACTTATGGATTTGCACATGGTTTGTCTTAAAGCATATTAAAAACACCACATAGACATATAAACAACATTAAAAGCTTGAATGTCACCACAGGGGGACTCGTCAAGTACACGTTTAGGCCTTCAATTAAAGTATAATATATAATATTGCTTCCTTAAAAATGAATGATATACTGATATTAAAATCGGTTCTCAGATTAACCTTTTCTTGTTAGAGGAAAACTATTGCACTTCATTTACATGCATCAAACTGCAATATCCAGTGACTGTTGTTCACTGAGTCTAACTGATCAACAAAGTCCCGCAATCTAAATCACACACACACACAAAAGACAAATGCTCTGCTGAACGATTGTTGAAGGGTAATAGGTCAAGACAGAAATGACTGACCACCAGGGGGCGTAAGAAAGAAGGCTTGAGAAATATTAAACAGGCATTATTCATCCAAAAAGAACAATATAAACAACAAGACGATTAACTAGAAGCAAAAATGACATTATAAGCAAAATAGTAATATAATGTTAATGTAAAAGCATAAAATATTGTACTATTATACATATGCAATTTATAGTTTTATTACAGTTTCAGATTATTTTTTAAATTTCAATTTAATGTTTATATATTTAAAATAAAACTATTTAAGTTTTTATAAAATTACCTTTACAAAAAGTGCGGCCTTTACAGGGCATCTCTTCGTTGGCCTTTTGTGCATGTTATGCAGCTTTAAATAGGCTAGTTTTGTTGTTGTTGTTGTAAACTAAATTTGACCAGAAATAGATTTTTTGACATTTTCCGACATTTTTCTTGAAGATTTAGCCCCTCACACATAGTGTTCTACAATAGGGAACAATGGGGCTAAAGGCCCTGATGTAAAAGGCCCTTTTGAATGTTCTTCTTCTTACATGACAACAAAAACCAAGACTTAACTAGACTTAACATGTGTAGGTATAGGCCTATTGGTGCCAAGTTGCCAAGTGTGGAGGATAATACTCATTAACACATTTTTTTAATCAATAGGCTATTTAATTTCACCCCCGCCTCTCCCTCCCTCCCCTTTCAATTATTAGGGATGAATTCAGGTTGATTGGGACACTTTTCCTCAATGGAAATGGTCATCTCAATGATGCCATTGTGTGTTGAATTAGCAAGTAGGCCTACAAATGTAGGCTGAATGGACAGCCGGCCATATTTGACTGAGAAACAGAATAGACAGACTTATTAAGAGTATGAATCGGTTATGGTAAACTTTACTGCTGTATTTTCTGCCAGTCGAGGCGCTGTTCAGGCGAGAGCAGAGCAGTCAGCAGGCCCACAGACAGCGCTGCTGAAACACGAACTCTCAGCTCAACACCAATTTTGACATCTTTCGCAAATGTACTTTTGAGGTGCCAGCGAAAAACATCTTTAAAGACGTCACCAATCGACATGATAAGGGTTCCCAAGCCCCAAACACGCCCTGCCCTTAAAATAACCTCACGGGACTATTACAGTAGGTTTTGAGTTATGCAGGATTTAGAATAGACGTGTTGCTAAGCAGTATATGTACGTTTATTGAAATGTGGTCTGAAGCTCAATGCTCGTCGTATTAAAGCGCTCTGTCACATTCACACGACATTAAACTCGGCCACAGTCGTTGAGATGATGTCGGACTCCTCCATTTTCTCTCTCCTCAGACGAAATTAAATAAATAAATACACGGCAGAGGAAAAACAATGCGCTGTTTATATTCACACACGTCCAAACATAGGGATCAACACGCGTTTCGATGTCGTTTCCATATGTTAGAGAAGTGCGTTGTGATGCGTTGCCAGCGATATTTATGTCTTGTTTATAACACAAAATCTTAGTAGCCTACTATATATATGTACATATGCCATTTTTATAGCGCAGCATTGCTGAACGCACGTGCGTCTTCACGCGCTCAGTCATTTTATCAACTCTAATGTTAAAAAGAACGTCGTTAAAAGACTAGTCGCAACTTCTTGAATGTATAAAAGCCTTACTTCAAATCGAAATTTAACACTTTGTGGCCTGTGCCAGCACACAACAGACTCCATCTTGAATGACCAAGAGCGCTGAAACTTAAACATAATCGCGTATTTTCATACGCTTCAGAGTGTTTGTGTTAATTTGTGTTTATTTCAGAATAGGATTTTATGTCACTTAAAGGAACCTACCACTTAAGGGTAGAAATGCCCGTTACAAAAGCAAAGTATCTTAACATATTACAAATATTAAAAGGACGCCAAATGTTCGATTAAGCGTGCATTTGAGCGTTTTGAAATGTTTAATTGTGTTTTGGGATAAAGTGAAGCGCAGGAGTTGAGAAGAGCTCCTCTCGCAAGGGGTTGGGTTGCCGTGCCGATTGGCTGCTGTTCATAGACACATACAGTCACGGGCTTGAAACAGAACCAGGGGCAGGTCGACAGCAAGGAAACCATAATCATTGAAAAATGAAAAGTACAACGTCCGCATCGTAACGCAGAGGTACGTTGTGACTCAGACATCGCGCACTGGGAAGGTTCCTCTCGGTGTGAGTGTTATAATAATGCATGTGTTTTTATATTGAAGGGGTAGAGTGATGATGATAGCATGAATGTGTTCTCAGGTTCTCTGGCCTACTACTGCAGCTGCGGCTGGGATTTTCTTGATCCACTTTCACAATTTGGGGAAAAAGGTCATTTCACGCGCGCAAACGAAGAGTTGTTAATATGAATAACACTGGCCAACATTTAAATGGTAAGATTCCATCGGTGTTTCCTTAGGCATCACGTTTTATATGTTTTAAAATAACGAAATATCCGGTGTAACTCTGTGAACTCGTTCTGATGTTTGTTCGAGAGAGAGATATTATTAAAATAATAGCTTATAAATATTAATGAGATTAGCACGCGTGACAATGAGCACAGCGCTGGCAGTTTTTACATGCATGTCACTATTGTATCTCTTCATATAATACTTCTTTATGTGAATCATGTGTCAGAGTTCACTCTTCGCTCTGTTATATGTGCGCCCGCTATCATTCCTGCGTTCCTGTGTTATGGAGAATGTTCGAAATGGAACACCATACTTCCCCTACTCGGAATAGTAAGCACTAAGCAGTACCTAATTAATCCGTTCCGAACGTACAGTCGCGCTAGAAACTTTGTAAACGCTTAAGAATTTTCTTCATTTAATCATAAAATTCCACTATATTGTGTAAGTCCCATATCTCAACAAGGAGAAGACAATTATTATTCATAAATATTTATACTCACTTATTTAGTATATTTCACTTGTTTATTGAGCAAAACGATGCAGGTGAAAACATCCTTTTTTTGGATAAAGGAACATCTAGAATTATATTATAATAATTCAATAGTTCATATAATAATAGGGGTAATTAGAGAAGGTGTTTTAAATAATTGAATAAAAATCAAGTGCGAGTTTAATACAAATGGACTCTTTCATACTCTACTAAGAAAAAATGATCATCTGCAAAAAAAAACCTCCAAAAGCAGGATATACAATATTCAAGGAGAAACCTCGGAGTAACATCTACAGATCTTGTTTGTGAGTCCACCATCAGCTAGGCTAGAGAGACAGGGCAGCAAGACACATTTTAGTCTAAAATTTGACAAAGTCCATGTGGATGAGACTAATGGAAGAATGTTTTGTGGACAGATGAGCCAAAAAAAAAAGAGCCTTTTGGTGTTAATGAACTATTACAGTTGGAGAAAACCAAACACTGGATTTGGCTTAATAAACAAGTGAAAAGATGTAATTATATATAAATATATATATATAATACATAACTCCTTTTATGTAGTTAAAAGGTTTAGATGAAGATGTGACGCAAATTTAGGCCAACATTTTTGCAACATTTCTTAAAGGTTCATAAACTTGTAAACAACAGTGCTGGGCACTTGTTGCCAGCTTTGCTTTACTATTACTACCATTCTTTACTATTTGTTTTTCAGATAATGCTGCAGTGCCGGTATGATTCGGTCACATATGCTTACTCTCAGTAATTCAACACATTGGTGTACTTGTTCACAGGTGCTGGATCTGCTTGACAGTATATGGAAAACGTCACCCATTGGCAGACAGACACTTTGCTTTGACCCTGGCCCTTCCTGTCTCACCTGTCCATGGGTTAAAAACTTAAGAGCCATAGTTTACTCATATTTGTCGCTAGAAAAGCCTTGGAGGCTTATGGAACTATGTGTGCATAATTAACTCAGATTGGTGTGTTGTAGCCAGACTGAGTTATTAACACATCTGTCTCAAAATGGATGCAGCTGTGACTGACAGCTGCACGTCCCCACCCAGCCCTGATTTTAGTCTGGACTCATCCAGTCCGTTTGCAAATGGCCTGCACTTTGAGTCTATTCTGTTTGAAGACGAGGACGAGGATGAAGTTATGGATCCAGAGACAGTGTCTCGGCTGGAAAGAGCCTCGTGTGGCTCAACAAGAGAACATACAACAAATACAAATTTAAAGACAAAATTGGATGTCAAGCCGAGAAGCAAAATTTCAAAGGCTCGCTCCTCCTCGGGGAAAGAAGTCGTCTTTGAAGACAAGTCTAAAAGTGATTGTGGGCTTTCTTCTCTTGTGAGCAGGCCTGCCGGGATTGTAATGGCAAGTTCACCATCAAACCACCACCAATATAATTAGATATCTCTTCATATGAAGAGATCAGCTGTTCTGCAAACTTTTAAAATTAGGAACATGTCAATATACATAATTTTAGTTATTAATACGTTTAATAATCAATAAAATAATATAGTTGATCATTTATAAAAATATGCTCATAAAATTTATATGCTAAAACATTGAATGAATCCTATTAAATATATATTTTTAAATGTAAATATTTTTGTATGGTGGTCTCGAGATCCTATGATGAGGGAACAACATATTTTTCTTGTGACCACGACTTCTTATGTTGAAGAAACGACATCTATTTCTTGTGGCCACGAGTTTAATGTGTAACGAACCTGTAAACGAATCAGAAATGGATATTATTAATAAACATTTTATTTTGAATTAAAAATGACAGACAATGCAGCATTAATATTTATATGCGTTAATATTTATATGCATTAATTGTCGGGTATATATGGGATTTAAAAAAACATAAGGCACTTTAAATATTAAAATAAATAATATAATGTTAATTAGGTACAGAGATGCATGAAAAGGGAAAAATTCAAACAAACACATAGGCTAACAATGAATATAAAAACATGACCAATAACAAAAAAAAGAAACGATCATGAATGGATTTAAAATACTGTGGTATGGGATGGATAAAAAATGTTTTCTTGTAGGCCTATATTATTTTATGTTCTTACATATTCTTTTAACACAATGTACCTAATTTATATATGATGTCTACCAGCAGACAAAAAAAATGAAAAGAAAGGCTCTACCACCAGTAAAATATTTGGAGGGTGAAGTTATATGGGCTAAATTCAACCGTAGACCATGGTGGCCCTGTCAGGTGACTGTTCACCCAGTTGAGGGAGTTTACCACAGAATTAAAGGTAAGTACACAACCACAGAAGCCATACTGTAGATGCCCCTTCCTAATTTCATGAACCAGATTCATAACTTTTCAGTCGCTTTTTTCCACACAATCCACCCACAAAAATGTGTATTGTCCTTCCTTGAATTGCTTTGTGCGATTGTGTTTCAGAGCCACCAGATCGGACCAATCGTCAGTATTTCCTCAAGACGTTTGGGGAACCTGAAGAACAAGCATGGGTTCCTGAGCGATCTACTCATATATTTGTGGGTGGATATCAGTTTAACAATCTCCCTTTTGTGAAAGGAAGTGGACGCCAACAAGATGAAAACGCCAGACACTCTGTAATTTCTGAAACATCCTTTCAGTAAAATGGATATTGTGACCTTTTTAAAACCCTTGTGAAATTGTTACTCTTGGGTTACTTTGCAGATACCCAAGCGTTTTCTGAACTCTTGGAGAGCTAGTGTGGTTGAAGCAGAAGCACTTCTCCTGGAGAAACCAAGGGTCACCACTCCATGCTCAGACTTCTTCAAAACAATCTCTGAAGGAACCACAAATAACACAGAAAACAAAGTGTCTGTGCCGGTGGAATTACCCAACATTAGTCTTCTGAGCAATCGGACAGTTACACAGAAAGACCACATGAACACCTTACCCCATAATCAGGGGTCTAAAAACAAAAAGAAACAAAGAAAGTCGTCAACACATTTGAAACAATCTGAGGAATTTCATTATGAGAAGGATACGATTATGGAAGGGTTGGACAGTCCCTACTCTGACATTGATTCGGTACCACAGATCCGCAGATGTCCCAAAAGCTCTGAGCGAATATCAAATATCAAACAATCAAACTCAACCCCAAGTCAGCTTCCCATTACAAATGACAAAGAAATAAAAAAGAATGTGGAGAACCAGGGTGGCCTTTGGTTCAGCAAAACAGGGAAAGGTCAAGTCAATGGGGGACTCGGTCGTGCTGGAATTAAATCTGTGAATTGTTCTTTTGGGAGGGTATCTTGTAAAATTAAGATGCCAGATTCAGCAAGCATGAAATCCAAGGACAATCAAATCACCGGACTTGAACATCTATCAAACGAAGCCAGGAAAGCTCTTGGTAGGAGAGTCAAGTGCCTTCCGGCAAGTAGTCGCCTGATGACGCGAGCACTGAAGGCAATGGAGGAGGAAGAGTGGATAAAGAAACAACTGGTAAACCAAGAGTCAATCTCAAATGTTGAAATGGGGAATTGTGTGTCTTCTTCTGACTTTACATTACATGAAACAACAGATGTAGACGACAATGGCTCTTCACAGAAGATTCCAACTACCGCAAGCTGTGATCAGAAAGAAGACTCAAACTTCAGCACACGCACCCAGCTATCATCTGATCTTCAAAGTTGTAAAGACAATGAACATTCAGTCAAATCTGAAGATGAAACTTCTTTGATATCTCAAGCACCTGTTGCCGTTCATTCATCCAAATTCAAACAAGAGAGTCACATTTCTGATTTATCTTCTAGTTCCACTCCATCTTTGTGCCTAAATATGGAAGATATGGAGAACATGAAAGAATTAACCTTCAAATCACTAGCAAATGAACAGAGTGGCCAGCCTCTGTCGTTTCATCCTGATGCAAACTATAAGTTTAGCACATTCCTAATGATGCTCAAGGATATGCACGATACCCGGAAAAACGATGGAACAGCATTGGTAATAGAACCGTTACCCCAAAATGAACTTATTAAAGAGGAGCCATCACTGATTCCGAATGTGAAGGATGAGCTGACCACAGTGAACACAGTAGTTACAAAAAAATGTCAATTAGGCAAAATCACATCCAAACAGAAGAAGATGAAGCTGAAGTCTGGGACAAATAGTATCCCGGAAAATCATCTAAACCCTATAGTTTCAAAAAACGCTCAAAGACACAGTAAAAAAATGAGTTCGAAAAAGAAAACCACTGTGGTCACATCAAACATCCACTCCAAATATTCATATGACAAACTGATATCTGAGCTTCACCTGCCCTCAGAGGAACCAGAGACCTCAGCTAAGTTCTCAGCTAATGTGCCCAAAAAGCGTTGGCAAAAGTTTGACCAAGTCAATAACAAAGCGTTGCATGCAGACGAAGGAGGTTGTGTTCAAGAGACAAAACCATTACCCTCAGAAAATTGTGAAGTTTTGGTGGGTGGCATAGATAAGTCTTTTTCTTGTGTCCCCGAGAAGCCAGCTTCCATCAATGCATTAGAAAATACTCAAGCCAACTGTCAAACAAATGACACCCCTACAGGTAAGGTACACAATGCTAATATCATCTAAAGATTCTGTCAATTTTTAAGTGGGCTCAAAAATGTTTGTGCTTTTACAGAATGTAAACGTATTCGAAAACCTAGCAAAAGACTCATAGAATGGACCGAGGAATACGATCAATTGTTTTCTACTAAGAAGAAAGCAAAAAAGAAACCTGAGTCGTTTACTAAGGTTAGCTAAGTTTATGCTAGCTAATCAAGTTCAAGTTGGATGTGTAAGTTATCTTGTATTGTGTAATTCGCTTTAACATTCTGACAATTTTTTTTAAACTTATGAATAGGTCGAAAACCACAATTGCAGTGGTCCAGTGGAGAAGATATCTGGCGAAAGTATACAGAATCCTCAGGTAACAGAACGAGGTGTGTCGAGACCCCTGCCAGAATTACAGACTCCTCCTCCAGAAGACTTGTCTCGGAGCACTCCCTCAATAAATACCACGCCATGTCAAGAGAGTCAAGTGTTGTCTGTTGACACGCTAACTCCACCTCCAGAAACAATCCCATCACCATGTGCTGAACTCTGCCATGGGGAGCAGCTTCAAAGACAAAATGCTTTGGCCATTGGTGAGTAGCTTTTTTCTGAAGGTTTACATAATTATGAAGAAATGCACACATTTTATCCATCACATTGTTTTACCATATGCAATGGTCATATGTAGACCCTAGTGCAAGCCAGAACCACTTTCCCCCCCAATGTTTTAGTTTATTTATTGTTTTAGGGCTGACTATATTCATTACTTTTTATCAGAACAAAAAAAAAAACCAGTCAAAAAGAAATGATTGTTCATAATTTTGAATAGGTGATGGTGTGTGTCTAAGCACTAAGAGACAACGGAAACCCACCAAAAAGATTCTAGAAAGCTCCATTGAAGCCGAACCAATTCTCATTCCTAAAAGAAAGGTACTATTTAAAAAGTTAGTCTAATGATATAAGGACAAAGGAATATTGGGCTAATAGCATTATCATTCACAGGTGAAGTCACAGAAGATGTGCTCATCTGGACAATCTACAAGATCAGGTTTGACTGCTTTCGAAACTCTGTTATTTTATTAAAATCATAATATTAATATATTGGACAACTTCATTATTTTAGGGACATAGCCAACAATCAGAGACAATTCAAAGGGCCGCCCTGGGGTGCGTTTCCCGTACAATGACGTAACTCGATGCTTAACTACCATAGTACGATGCATTGCTGAAGAAAAACTAGCTAGTTAAGTTTTCCGAAACCGTATTGACGCAAATTTGCCGTTCAACCGCATTGGTTAATGATGTCACGCAGGTGGTGGAGCGATAACTTATTTAAATGAATCCGTTTGAAATCGAATTCATGCTAGATATTTTGCTATAAATTACGGTCATGGCATCTGAGGACTAATTCTCATTTTTCTCAGTTATTTTGCTTTATTTCCAGATTCAATCATAGGCTCGTTCTTATGTTCTAGAGCAGAAACGGTGATTTAAATCTTTTGACAAACTAAAAGATGTAAATGACATTTGTATGTATTCAAAATAAAACATATAGATTGTACTGAATGTCATCTTGCTTATTTTGGTCCACATAAGGATTTATTGAGTCCATATGATATGACATGCAAACAAGAGGTCAGAGCTGTCGTTTTAAACACACAACTTTTTGATGCCGTGTGCCAATGTTCGTTGGAACTATGGTTTCGGGAAACACCGACTCGTTGAGCTATGCTGATAACGACGGAACTTGCGACTATGAGATGGCTAACGATGCTTTTGGGAAACGCACCCCAGGTCATTTAATTATGTACTAAAATATGTATGTCCATCAGTTACATTTTCAACAATAATCTAATCTAGTTGAAAATGATGTTTTAAGCTCTAGAAGATCTGGCATATATTATTGGCAAGTTTATTTGGTGCCTTAGTTGTCTTTTGTTTTACAATCTGTAATTGTATTGTAAATGAAGGAATGGGACAACAATCATCAAAAAGTAAGAACAAGCTGTCTTCTGAGTCCATCGACAAACCAACTGACCCAATACTAAAAAGCACAGAGATGGAGATAAAAGTTGCCCCTGCAATGCCTCATCCAGTTGACCCAGAATCAGCAGAGGACGACTCAGATGCTCTCAGATGCTCAAGTTCAGAGGTCAGTAAAAAGAACTCTTGAAAACAGTCTTTTATTATTTCTTAATGTTTACTTTATTGGGTACACCTATACAACTTCTTCTAATCAGCCAGAGGATTCAATGAAAATGATTAAATCAATCTTTCTAAATGCTCACTAAATTAATTAACCGTAATATCTGGCATTTCGTTCAGATGTTTGAATCTAGTTATGGCTTGTGTTCCGAAAGAGAAGAAAATCCACAATCTGATGAAGGACTCTCGGATAATAAAAGACTCTCAGAGGAGAACGGTGGCAGCATCTTACTCAAGGAAAACGTGTGTCAGGTAGGTGTGTTGAGGCCCGTTTACACCAAGAACAATAACTATATTATGGTGTCCACTCCAACGGACAATAAAAGTTATGTCGTCTGCTGAGTTAAAGCAACACTAAGTAAGAATTTTTACCTTAAAATAATGTTTTCAAAATCGTTTCAGTGGTTCATCAAGTCGTGACATGGTGAAATGCACGTATGCCACCGCTTTGTGGTCCTTTATGTGATATATCCATGCTATGTAAGATTGCCAGATTGGGTCGCGTTTCTGTAGTACGAATGAGACCTAAGAAAACTACAAATTTGACTTGCTTTACGGCAAGCGTTACAATTGCCGATAGGTGGAGCGTACTCGACAGTAGACTACAACTACACTTTCATAAAATCATGCATCATACTCTACCTTGTCTGTGGCCATTGTTGATTCCAAAGCCGGTGCTGGATAAACAGAGAGCATGTGCGTGCGTGTGCGACAGTAGGCTGCGGTAGGCTAAATTATTTACGACAGCGGTAATGGACAATTCCGCTTCCAACCTGTAGGGCGACCGCAGAGGAAAAGTTGCTTGGTGTTGCTTTAAATACTCAAGCTCTTTAAAATCAGGTGAATTCTGAATGGCTGGCAAGGTTTTTTTTTATCATTAATTGTTCAACAAATCGCTCTGAAAGTGATCCAGTGATATTGCTCCTTTTCCCTATTAAAGGGGCGGGGTTTAAGAGGGCTAATTGATTGGTGAAGTCCAGCAAATGTTACGCAAGTTTCGTGAGGTACCTTCGTGCGCAAACGTGCCTATAAAGTCCTTGCCTGATAAGGCAACAAGTCAGCGGCCTAAGTTTTGGGACTCAGCCCATAAGAAAGAAAAAAAAAGATCAAAATGCATGGATAAAAAAAAAATGAAATAGGGAAAATGTAATAGGGACTTTAAAGTAACACTATGTAGTTTTTCAACCTTCATAATATATTTCCAAGACCCTTGTGATGGTACATCGACTTAAAATAAGTTAAATGACACGTCTGCCATAGCCTGACGTGGTCTGTATCGCTTTTACTGGCACTATGTAACTTCGGGTTTCGGGTAGGAACCCGTGCACAAAAAGAACTACAAAATTCGACTGCTTTACGGCATACGTCACTTCCCCCACCACTTCCTCAAATTGTCTGTGGCCATTGCAGACATCCCAAGTCTCCCGGGAGTCTCCTGCGTCTCCCTGATGCCCGCAAATTAGTTCAGATCTGCCGGAATCTAGAGCGCGCATGCGAGACAGAACATACTGCGCGCATAACATACATAGCGCGAGCACGGCTGAGAGAGAGAGAGCGAGAGACCTTGCGAGTGTGCCTCACGAAAGCTAGTCAACCCGCCACCAGCCGCCCCCCCCGTCAACAATCCAGTCACCAAGATATACCTCCCTGAAATGACTTCTTGCAGGTTGGGATGTCTGCCATTGTTGATTCCAAAGCCGGTGCTGGATAAACAGCGAGCGTGCGCGTGCGACAGTCGGCTGAGGAAGGCTAAATTATTTACGACAGCAGTAATGGACAATTCTGCTTCCAAACTGTAGGGCGACCGCTGAGGAAAAATCACATGGTGTTGCTTTAATCATAAACAAATGGCAGTGTCAAATGAAATTACATTATCAATTGGATAAAATATATAACTATATTTTAGACTAAAGGGATAGTTCACCCAAAAATTAAAATTAGCCTATGATTTACTCACCCTCAGGTCATCCTAGGTGTATGACATTCTTCATTCAGACGAATACAATCAGAGTTATATTAAAAAATGTCCTGGCTCTTCCAAGCTTTATAATGGCAGTGAATTGCCGTTTCTGTTTTGCAATCCATAAAAGTGCATCCATCCATGATAAAATTGATCCACACGGCTCTGGGGGGGTTAATAAAGGCCTTCTGAAGAAAAATATCCATATTTAAACCTTTATAAAGTCAAATAACTAGCTTCTGGCCAAACGAACGTACAGATTCCACTTAAGTCTAATGCCGCGTTCCAGGCAACCTGTAACCCGTGTTTTTCCAACCTTATACCCGTGAAAGTGCACTGGAACGGCAGTCAAACCCGTGACTTCCCACCCGTGAACTCGTACTAGATCGATGTACTCCCATTTAGGAGCTCTGACGTCACATAGCCCGCGAATCCATACAAAACAACAATGGCAGCCCCTACGGATGCAGTGTTTCTGCAGGCGGTACACGGTGAGAATACACTTTAGGACAATTTAACGTTGCAGTCAAATTAATAATAATATAATAATAATGATAATAATACACACCCGATTATGTATTACAATGTTATGTGTCTGAAACAACAAGTATGTCGTGAAAGTGTATTGCCGCATGAAAATGTTAAAGGTGCTCTACGTAACTTTTAGCGGCCTCTAGTGGTGATGTTTCAGATTGCACCCAAATTTTACAAGAGCGCTCGTGCTCGAACTCATAGACAATACCGTTTAATACGCAAATATCTCGGCGAATACTTGACGGATTCGGCGAGCACCGAGCTCGTTGGGACCATCTAGTCGAGCTGAACAGAACCATATAAGTTCCATAGTTTTTGGTGGTGTTTTCGCGGAGATATTCGCAGAAAACCATCGGGCGCGCTGCAAAATTGCGGACGCCGGTGACGTCACGATCTCAGAAGAAAATCGCTCGTATCTCTGGAACGCAAAGACCCAGAGAGCTCACATTCGGGGGAGGAGGTCCCAGGGGAACCCTTGCCCGAACGCTAGAGTGGCGGGCCTCGGGGATGCCCCCTACCGGATCGCCGTTCGCTGGGACCCCCGATTTCGAACGGCTATAACTCGGGGAGCCGGGCGAGTTGGACCTCGGGGGTGGGCTCGTTCGAAAGGCCCCGTCCAGCACTACGAACGATTAGAGTCTTGGGAATATTGATCAAAGATTGACTGAGATATAAACCGAAAAACGTGCGCCTTTAACCGGACGTAACTCCCTGACCGTCTAGACTGTATATAAGGAGAGAGGCTCGGGAGCGCACATGCACGTCACACCCATTGGATTTCGCGGTAAATCCGACCCGGAGACTTCACATAGAAATAAGAATACTGGCCTTCAGAGGTAATAGCAAAACTCGACAAGTGGATCATTTTAATGTGTGATTACAACCCCTTCACACACAGGCAATAAAAAAAGGATTCATTTTAGTAGAAAAGTTACATAGAGCACCTTTAAGGTGACGTAAACCTGAAGTTTGTAGTTTGGCGTGACTGGCCTGGAACGCTACAAAGTGTTGAGTCGTGGTTTGAAGTCGTGATTTACGTGCTCAAAAACCTGCCTGGAACGCAGCATAAAGTGCAACTTATGTGACGTACTGCTGATATTTACGCTACTTCTGACGTCGTAAGTTGCGCTTGTTCGTTTGGCTGGAAACTAGAATTTTTCTTTGTAACCTGTTACATTTTAAAACATTTCTTACACAAACGCATCGCTTCACTTCAGAAGGCCTTTATTAACCCCCTCGGAGCCGTGTGGAGCACTTTTATGATGGACAGATGCACTTTTATGGACTTCAAAACAGAAACAGCCATTCACTGCCATTATAAAGCTTGGAAGAGCCAGGACATTTTTTAATATAACTCTGATTGTATTCGTCTGAAAGAAGAATGTCATATACAGTACTCCTAGGGTGAGTAAATCATGGGCTAATTTTAATTTTTGGGTGAATTATCCCTTAAGATGTTTCAAAGAAGTGATCTTGATCTTAGGGTGTTTTAGCAAATTGATTTATCATTTAAAATATGAATTCACTAAATTCAGTTGTCGATAGCTATGGTATATTAGACAATCCCTCAATGACCTCCTCATCTGCTGTTTCTGAAGGCATGTGAGAAGCAGGGAGATCTCCTTCTGTGCGAAGGCCAATGCTGTGGGGCATTCCACCCACAATGCACTGGTCTGAACGAGCCTCCCACAGGAACATTTTTATGTCAGGAGTGCACGTCTGGTGAGTGCCTGCTTCATAATTCACAAACCAACAATTTGACTTGAAGTAATTTTACAGCTTTTGACAGCTGGTTTTGTGAATATTTGAATAGGTATACACTCATGCTTCGCTTGTAAGAGCCTGGGTGAGGACGTCAGGCGCTGTATGCTTCCTGGATGTGGGAAGTTCTACCATGGGGAGTGCGCTGCCAGCCATGCGCCCACTGTACCTCTGAACCGGGCCTTTCGTTGCCCTCTCCACGTCTGCCTGTCGTGTTTCATCACAAACCCTACCAACCCGTCCATATCTAAAGGTTTGTTGTGCTTATAGCAGTTAGGTGCTAGATCAGGTGATGACCTCTGAATTGATGAGAGAACCAATTCCACCTGGGAACCGCAATACCTTTACATATGTAAGATTCAGTCCATAAAGTGTTGGTCCAATAAAGTTGTTATTTTTAATTAGGTGAGTTATCTCATCATCATGGCAACAATTTTTGGATGCTGTGTTTGTTGGACCAGTGCGAATTAGCATTAGGATGTTATCTTGCAAACTAGGTGTACCGATATTATTATAACATGAAATAATCATGGGCTGTATTGACCAGAATATTAACAATACAGATAAGCCCATGATTATTACATGTTGTGGCTGATATGAAAATTCTATGCTATTTTGTCCAAATCATTGTAAAATTAAATACTTATAAAATAAAATCAATCATTTGAATTTGGTGAATTTGTGCATTTGAGATTTGCTAAGTATTACATTTTACAGTATTTTTAAATATTAACTTCAAGTGAGTGGTAATCTAAATTTAAAAACTAAAGGAAATTAGCATGTACATTTAAATGTCCAATTTCACCTGATGCAAAAAAAAAACACCCCCAAAAAACCTTACACCATGCTCCGATGTACTTCAAGCGAAACCTAAGAACGAACTGCTGTGACGTCATTTCGAACAAATTCAGGCCAAAACGAAGTTCGTTTAGGGAGTTCGAAACAGCTTGCCAAAGCGAACTTTCCAGAACACCTTTGTACTATCATTGGTCCGTGGCGATTACGTAATAGAGTGGTGCAGGTATGACATCACTTTGTAGGCCAAAACACAGAAGCGAGTTAGCATTTTAGCACTTCCGGTTCCATCGTCCCGAAGTCAATGGGTTTTTTGAATGGATTTTTGGTTAAATAGCTGAAATAAGGTCTGTGGAGAACACAAGCTCAAGACACTGTAACGTTTTATTCTACGACATAAAATACTTCAATATTGAAAACCCAGTTGTGGTTTTTTGAAGCTGTTACGTTTCTTGAAAATGGCGGTTGCTAACAAGTGGCTAAATGCAGAGGCGGACAGAGTACACAGCTTCGTTACTTGAGTAAAAGTACAGATACCCCTTGCTAAATTTTACTCAAGTACAAGTAAAAGTACTACAGTCAGATGTCTACTTAAGTAAAAGTACTGAAGTACTTGTTTTTAAAAGTACTTGAGTATCAAGAGTACAAGAGTAAATTTTCTAAATATTGCATTACTACTGCCACAGTGTCAAGTCAAGTCATCTTCATTTATATAGCGCTTTTAACAATGTAGATTGTTTCAAAGCGGCTTTTCAGAGATATACATATAATTTAAGGTAACAGAGATTGGTTTGGTTTTATAGCGGTTCTTGAATAATGTTATTTTCCAGGTAAAGTTAGTTTTGATTGATTCACTTCCGTCGAAATGATCATTTGTTATTAAATTAGGGGCCGCTAAGATGACACCGTTCTCTCTAAACAGACTTTAAACGCGAACCTGTGATAAACGCTGATGGCGGTCACATGCGCATTAAGAATTGATTCTATATTTATGTGTGTTCGAATATATGTGTGCAGGTTTGTAATTCCCTACAAACCATGCCTAAACAAACTACTTGTCTTTGCCTATAAATTTGATACAGAATTTAAATTATTTTATCACTTCGGGGTAGGTACTCGAACCGTGCTTACATTTATGTACAGAAACGTCCTAGATGGAGTTATGAAAAATGTTAATGTTAATACCTTTGATAATCTAAAAGGAAATTGAAAGTTAATTCAAGTCATTTTCATCTTTTTACCATGTTGCTTTATTTAACATTGCTCACTTGCCCACAAGGCAATGCACAATGGCAACGCATTGACAAACCTCTGCTAGAGTTTTAATAGATTTTTTGCACCCACATTTGAACCCACATAAATCTGACCATGGAGTTTACTTTGGCGTCACTTCAGAGCTGAAGGTGAAGGTGATTTGCTGATAGGCTGTCCCAATCAGTGGCGCCTGCACAATCCAATCACGTTTGAGAGGGAAACAACAAATTGAAGGTTTCCGAGATTTTTTTTTAGTCTTTTTTTTTAGAAGTAACGGGTACTCACGGTTATGGATAGAAATGTAGTGGAGTAAATAGTACAATATTTGCCTCTCAAATGTACTTGAGGAAAGTCATGAGTAATCCCCAAAAATGATACTCGAGGAAAGTACAGATCCCTCAAAATTGTACTCAAGTACTGTCCTCAAGTAAATGTACTCCGTTACTGTCCGGCTCTGGCTAAATGTGACTACAGAGGCTGTCGAGGAGATTAAACATCATCGCCGAACAGGTAAACTCAGTCCGCTTTTACAGCCTCATTATGCAAATAATTGTGCTCCTAAAATCTATTCTAACTCAAACGTTCTGGGAAAATGGTTTTAGATAAAAACTGAAAGAGTTGTCGGAAGCTTAATGATGATGACGTTGAATTCGTGGGACCGTGGTGTAGTTCGTTTATAGCCTACCTTTAGCTTTTTATTTCTGGCGACTGCATTTAGGCTTCAAAAATCAAGTTGTGTTCATCTGTGATAATAATCTTGATGGACAAAACATGCAAGTATCATAAACTTTTGTTGGTCACAGAGCTTATTTTTAATAGCGATAATCCAAAAGCCTATGGGAAAATGCTATTGGGTTTTTGTCGAGGGAACCAGCGTGATGCTAACTACCGATTGGCCTACAAAGTGACGTCATACCTGCACCACTCTATAGGTAGGTGTGCGCGGAGTCTCCACCTTCTTCCACGTCAAAATATTTTCTGGTTAATTTCTTCTGTTCAGTCCGTAGAGGTCAGACGTCCGTGAGTGAAAATCTGAACACACTGGAGAGCTGCTTTATAGTAGAAAATGAAGTCGTACTTCCGATGAAACGAGACACTGACACTGTTTTTCATGTTTAATACGGTAAAGCTGCTTGATTTTAGGCAATCTATTGTATAAAATGCTATAAATAAACTTGACGTGACTTTACTAAAGCCGAATACAAACATATCCACGTTGCTATGATCAGATGCTTTTCTTATGCTTTATTAAAAAAATGCTTGCTGTTTTTTAAATTTTGTTGTGTTTATTTTGTAATTGAGAGGAAAGCGAGCTGCACATATTTACACGTTCTTAGCAGTGTGGGCGGCATCAGATGTTCGCTAACAGTATATCGCTGGTCACGTATTTCAAACTTCCTTTTACCCCTAAGCGAAGAACGGGAAAAAACTTCGCTGTGAGGATATCGGGGCCTTTAGTGTTCACCATCTAAAACACATATTTCAAATGTGGGGGCTTTTATTATGAAATCCTCTGTATTTTGTGTCTAGGCCAGCTAACCCGCTGTATCAGATGCCCTGTGGCATATCACGCCAACGATAACTGCGTTCCTGCTGGGAGTGCCACACTCACCCACAGCAACATAGTGTGTCCCAACCACTTCACACCAAGAAAAGGCTGCCGCAACCACGAGCATGTCAACGTCAGCTGGTGCTTCGTCTGCTCAGAAGGTTCATTCGGCTGTTTGCTGAATCACAATTTGCACCTCTGATTTTAATGTGTGCACCAAATCATTGACATTATATTAAGGGCTTTAGTAATTCCTTGATGATTCGTCCAATTCAGCTTAAAAGAACTTCCCTAAGAAGCTCACTTTATTAAACCTTCAGAAACCTATCAGAAACACTTCTTCTCTGAATCTGTATCACTTCCCTCTACAGGAGGTAGTCTGCTGTGCTGTGAGTCATGTCCCGCGGCATTTCACCGAGAGTGTCTCAACATCGACATGCCAGAAGGCAGCTGGTACTGCAACGACTGTCGTGCTGGAAAGAAACCGCACTACAAGGAGGTAGTGTGGGTAAAAGTGGGCCGCTACAGGTCAGCATGCACACAACCAACCCTCATCGTTCCTGTTTTGTACAGTCAGCGTACACAACAGTTTCTGCTCTACTCTGTGTTAGATGGTGGCCGGCAGAAGTTAGCAATCCCCAAACCATTCCTGAGAATATCCTACGCATGAGACATGATGTCGGAGAGTTCCCAGTGCTTTTCTTCGGCTCTAATGACTACCTGTGGACTTACCAAGCCCGTGTTTTCCCTTACATGGAGGGTGATGCCAACAGTAAAGAGAAAATGGGAAAGGGAGTTGACTCTACCTATAAGAAAGGTATATCTTCTGCAACTAATAATTGTTGCTTGCTTTTGGTACTGGTATTTCTAATGCCCTATCGTTTTCTTAGCAATCAGATTAACATTTTAAGCTCAGTGAATGATAAAACGGGTGTTAACGTCTATATTAAATGTGAAATAAAACACAAAAAAATGATTTTGCTACAAAATCAAATGCTGAAGTGAATTACAGTGCGTGCATAATTATATTTCCAAGCACATTTGACCAATTCCAAAACCACAATAATCTGACTAACTTCTATTCATTTCGTATTTAATCATTTATAAGTGATATATAATTGTTAAGGAAGGCTGGAATTGAAAAACGCCTTAATTATTAAGCAGGTTTTCTTTTACAGTTAAAATAGGCCAAAAAAGAGGTTTAACTCACACTGAAAAGTAAAAAAAATATTAAATGCTCATGAGAAGGATGCAATGCTAATGCAGTAATAGAAATTTATGACCAATGGACAGCAAAACGCTCATTGGTTCAGCAGGGCCATGCAAAAACAGGCCAAGAAAAAGACACGTTAACTGCAAAAGAAATTGGAGTTAAGGTGAATAATTAGGTGTGAAACCATCAGGAACCCTTTAGACTCCAGTGCCACCATTTTCCAAAACTGCAACCTACATGGAGTCTCCAGAAGTACAAGGTGTCAGGATCTCAGAGACTTTGCTATGGTAAAGAATCTTGAAACATGACCCGCACTTAATACGAATCACAAGCTGAAGTGTTGTGAAGTACATGAAGACAGATAGACAGATAGGTTGGGAGTGACTCTTGAGGGACCAGCACGACATCCTCTCTCCATTTCCATATCTCGTACCACTGTTTGAAGAATGTATCTTCCAGAATCTGGCAGTAAGTTTTGGAAGTTGATTTTAAGTGCATCTCCTACCCTGAAAGGTCCGTCTTGCCCATTGTTAGTAGAAGCCCACAGCACGACTTCTTCGCCACCGCAGCTGTTGTCTGACTTGAACTGGTGCTGGTCCCTCAAGAGTCAATCTCAACCTATTGTCTATAAAGCCTTTAGACAGATAGGTTGCCTATAAACAGTCTTCATGTATTGCATTAGTATTGCAAGTAAGTACAAGGTGTCAGGATCTCAGAGACTTTGCTATGGTAAAGAATCCTGAAATATAACCCACGGCACACTTAATAAGCATCACAAGCTGAATGAAGTGTTGTGAAATACATGAAGACTGTTTATAGACCTATATTTCTGAAGGCTTTATAGACAGATAGGTTTTAGAGTGACTCTTGAGGGACCAGTTTAAGTCAGACAACAGCAGGGAGTCGGGCTGTGAGCTGCTATAACAATGAAAAAGACAAACCTTTTAGGGGTCAGGGAACTGATCAGATCCAGAGAGTCCAACAAGCCGGACGGGACCTTAACTTTAAAGGAATAGTTGTCCCAAAATGAAAGTTCTGTCATTATCCGAATGAAATCTGCCTAATGTCATTCCAAACCTGTTTGACTTTTCTGTGGAACAAACATCTTTAACATTGGCTGATAGGCTAAAACACGTGTAACTCCTTAACGACTTCGTAGCAATGCCTTAGCAACCATCCACAACACCCTAGCATCGTGAAGGCGACATTTGCACACACAACTTATGTAAAAACCTAGTTGTCTTCCATGACTCTTGGTGTAGCTGAAATCAGAGATCAAATGAAAATGTTTGAAATCAAAATTTTCAATGTGGTTTAGCTTTGGAAGAAGCTGCTCTAAGGTTCAAAGAACTGCAGGCGGAGAAAGAACTACGGCAGCTCCAGGAGGACCGACAAATTTACAAGAAACCTCCACCATACAAACATATTAAGGTACATGACCATACAAGGCACACTATGAGATTGATTGCTAGCTTTATGTTACGATGGTATGTTGTAATCTTATCTTGGTTAAATCCAATAGGTGAACAAACCAATTGGCAAAGTGCTGATCATCTCAGCTGACCTTTCGGAGATTCCCCGTTGCAACTGCAAAGCGACAGACGAGAACCCCTGCGGTATGGATTCAGAGTGCATCAACCGCATGCTGCTGTACGAATGTCACCCAGAGGTTTGTCCCGCAGGCGAGCACTGCCAGAACCAGTGCTTCACCAAACGGCAGTACTGCCAGGTGGAGATCTTCAGGACACTGTCTCGAGGCTGGGGACTGCGCTGTGTGCACGACATCAAAAAGGTGAGCTGATTTCGAATGTTCTTCATGGGCAGTGTCTCAAACAGCATTCATGCAGACCACAAAATCAAAAGCCTGAAAGTTCGTGTTCCAGAACTGTCCGCCGGATGCAATTGCTCAAAAACAAAGATCCACTACGTAGTGTATCCATTCACACGCACAATAAATGAAGTATACTCTGAAGGGATTTGCATGCTCAACTGTGCGCAAGATGGAGTTGAATGCGGAAAACATAATATACCTCACAGTTGTATAACGCTTAGCATGTTGCTAAGCTGATTGCTCCAAATCAACAATATCATAATTTTGCTTCTCTTTCTGTAATCACACCAAAAACGGTGTTTGGTTTTAGAGTAAGCAAACTTTCGAAAAGCGACTGACTTTTTTAAATATTGAGCATTTGAATTTTTCCAAAGATATTTAACAATTAGTCCATCTCAGTCCTCCCCCTTATAATGTCTCTACAGAGAGCCGATGTGGATATAATTAGCTTTAGCTTGTCCAGTCTGCTTTCTAAATAAGTCTTTGTTTTTAACGCTTGACCCAAGGGAGGATTTGTTAACGAATATGTTGGAGAGGTGATTGACGAGGAAGAATGCCGTGCCCGGATTAAACACGCTCAGGAGAACAATATCGGCAACTTCTACATGCTTACGTTGGACAAAGTGAGGTTCTAAAACTACAACACTAGTGTCTCCTGTCTCCTAAGATTTCTGTTATAGAAGCTGAATATATTGCTTTGTGGTTTCTGGAAGGATCGAATTATTGATGCCGGGCCCAAGGGAAATGAAGCCCGTTTTATGAACCACAGTTGCCAGCCAAACTGCGAGACCCAAAAATGGACAGTCAACGGAGACACACGTGTTGGGCTTTTTGCGCTCACAGATATCCCTGCTGGTAAGTCAAATTCTTTTTATATAGAAGACTCCTTGGTACAGCCTCACATTCACACCGTTTTTTGCTAAAACATTGATGTGCGTTTTCTTTAAAGGCACAGAGTTAACATTCAACTATAACCTTGAGTGTCTGGGCAATGGGAAGACAGTGTGCAAGTGTGGTGCATCGAATTGCAGTGGATTCCTGGGAGTGAGGCCAAAAGTAAGCAGATGATCTTTTATATAGTATAACGTAATGTTATAGATTCATCATTGATTTGTCTGATGATATAATAATATACACTGCCGGGCCAAAACAAAAAGTTGCTGTTTGGATAGGCAAACGCTTAAGAGTCTATGACTGGATCATTAGTGCAGTGATTATTATGTTTCTATCATGTTATATGTTTGGCAGCAGTTCTTCTAACCCTTATTGATGGAGTGTGTAGCTTTTCATTTCCTAAACAACCAAGTAGGAAAACGCTTCAAGGCCATATTCCAGAATGACAATGTCAAGATTCATCAAATTGTGAAAGAATGGTTGGCAGGGAGCATGAAGAATCATTCTCACACATGAATCGGCACCTCTGAGTCCAGACCTTAAATTCATTGAAAGTCTTTGGGATGTGCTGGAGAAGACTTTACAGAGTGCTTGACTCTTGCATTGTCAGTGCAAGATCTTGACCAACCGATGCAACTCTTGATGGAAATGGCATCACAACAAGTATTTCCATGAAGAGGTGCATCAATTTTTGGTCGTGATCGTGTAAGATCGTGTATTGACAATGCAAGAGTCAAGCACTCTGTAAAGTCTTCTCCAGCACATCCCAAAGACTTTCAATGAATTTAAGGTCTGGACTCAGAGGTGCCAATTTATTTCTAATGTAAATCCGTCCGATTTTCACAATAAAGTTTTTAGTATCCAAAGCATTCTTGCAAATTCAGTGATCCTTTCTGCTTTGATAAGTGATTGTAGTTAGACATCAACTCTGTGTCTATCAGAACAACCCCCCATCAGATGATAAAGGCCGTAAACTGAAGAAGAGGTCCCAGATGAAGCGCAAATCCCAGCAAGTAATCAAGGAACGGGAGGATGAGTGCTTTAGCTGTGGAGATGGAGGACAGATTGTGTCCTGCAAGAGGCCAGGCTGTCCTAAGGTTTACCATGCCGACTGCCTCAATCTCACCAAGAGACCTGCAGGTCAGTCTTTCTTGAAGTTTTCTCAAACAGGCCACTCACTGACCACAAAGTCATTATTCAGCTCAGTGTTGATTCAGTTTAGTTCAATAATAGTGCAAAGTTCGTCAAATTATGAAACAAGCTTAATTCAGCTGTAAGCAACTCTATAAAAGGCAATAGTGTTGTTATTCAGCTCTAGTCAGTTCAATGTTGATTCAGTGGAGTTCAATAATGTCAATGTTGCAGAGTTCCCTTTCAGTCGGTCACGTTCGACGTTACGTCGACGTCACCGACGTCTTGGGATCCCCGTCTCCGTTCCCTCCTTCAGGGAACGAGGGTTACATACATAACCGAGACGTTCCCTATCAGTCGTCTCCGTTCCCTCCTTCAGGGAACGAGACTTACGTAAGCTACCAAGACATTTTCAGAGATTCAGTGAGAAACTTGTTTTGCGTTTCAGGCCGTTGGGAGTGTCCCTGGCATCAGTGTGACCTGTGTGGACAGGAAGCAGCTTCCTTCTGTGAGATGTGCCCTAGTTCCTATTGTGTCGAACATCGGGAAGGCATGCTTTTCATATCCAAACTGGATGGGCGATTGTCATGCAGCGAGCACGACCCCTGCGGCCCCGAACCCCTGGAGCCTGGCGAGATCCGGGAATGCCCCGGGGAACCTTCCACACCGTACCCTATAAACGTCATCAGAGATGCCAAAACCAAAACCACAACCCGAAACACTATGGATGTCCCGCAGGCTCCCTCTCCCCCTGATATAGCCCCTCAGGTCTCCTTTAGCCCCCCCAGTAGCCCTCCACCACTTAACATCTCTTTAAACTGTGCATATTCACCCATCTCTCCCTATGGAGAAGAAAACGAAGAAGAGGAAGAGAGTTTGATGAACTTAGAAATGGATGGTGAGAAGAGCGTATCTCAAGATAATTCGGAACGGCTGAGGTTAAAGAAGAAAACCGAAGTATGAAGGTTTAATCTATTGACTATCGAAGCAAACTGACCCGGGGTTTAAATCTCCCAAACAGACCTCTTTTCAGCCATGTTCTTGTTTTCTCACACTAACTTTCACTGAGGGTATCTGGTGTGCTTTGAGTTCCAATCACTACAACATCCTTGAAGATGGTACTCAAAACGGTTTGCATCTCCTTCTGTAATCTCTTGCTGATTTTATGAGGTTGATTCGAACTGCACTGAGGAAGATGACAATGCTTACGAAAAAAAGATTCAAACAATGATTGAACAGTATCCACTTCATACAACGCCATCAACAGTTACAACATCATGGGACGTCATGAGATTCCGGCCATCTTATTATTTCTTGCTACATCTGGCACTATGAAAGATGTTGAGCATCACAAAAAAGCAACAATGAAGAGAATGAAGATACAGTATTGAGGGAAGGGAATATATTTTTCCATGGAAATGCCATTGCCTTCTTCATCGAGTCAAATAATAATGACTATAAATAATACGTACTGTTACCAAAACTCATTTGTTCTGTATATTTGCTCTGTGAGCAAATAGTACAGAACATAAGCTAAGGTTAAATTTTACTATTGAAAAAGGGGTTGATGTATTCAAGCCCAAAGTATACTTCGGTTTTTACGCGAATGCTATATGCATACAAGTGCGTGTGATGTCAATATCGTCTTCAGTATAGTACAAGTACTGTACACATGCAGTCCGACTTTTGTAACCGCGTGTACTTTATTTACGCTAATAATCTGGTAGACAAGGTGGGAACTCTGGGACGAACTGTTTTAAAAAAAAGTAAACGTAAGAGACAACAAACTTCTGAAACCCACATTAGCAATAGAAATGCACATTGATGAGCAATTGTGTGGAGAGGTTAAGGTCTAGGGAAAAATAGCACGTGCACTAGACAAAGGTGAACATTTCTAGTGCACATGTGTCAACCGCCTATGTTGGCATATGCTATGAAATTGATTATACTTTAAAAAGCTATATGTTTGGCTGTACACATATACTAAGCATTTGCATCAAAACCGAAATATACTTTGTTGACGGTAATTAAAGTGCCCCTACTATGCTTTTTCAGATATTACCTTTCATGCAGTGTGTAATATAGCTGCTTGTGAATGTAAAAGGTCAGCGAATTTTTAAAGATCAAAGTGCACGATAAAGTTATTTTCTCTCTCTTTTCAAAAAAAAAGAAAGAAGATTGATTCTGACCTGCCGAAACGAGTCGTCAGTTATCCCAGTCTTACTTCTGTAACTTAGTAGCAACGTGACAAATTTGCATAATGCCCACCTATGGTCTTCATTGGCTGCCCGTGAACAACGTGATCCGCCCTCAAACGCTGTAGCTGGTTCGTGTTGTGTACATGTTAAGAAGACGCTGTTTTCTGCCCTGCAAAAGCAAATTCTCTTTGTAAACTCTTCCAAAGGATGAGGATAGTCAGTGGTTAAAATGACCACAGCGATACACAGAACAGCATTATAACCTTTTGACGATTGCTTCTCAAATCTCAGCGAGGACTAAATGGGATTTACAAATCGCTTGTCCATTAAAGATGGGACAGTACCCACTTTATTTGGACCAACTTGCACCTCTGAATCACAACCTGTAAGTATGATTAATTATTGATGTATACAGTGTATTTTCTACCAGGTGTTGAAAATACGTAGTTCTGGCTAACTCACGTTATTACTGCCTTATTAAGGTAATGCATTGCGTCATTACCGTTATTACCATTAGAAATGATTACTTCTGCTAATCAACTGTGGGCCACTACTACCTAAAATTGTGTACATTAATGCAGATTGTCTATTGTTCTTACTACTTTGAGTAATGATAAAGGATGGAGCGAAATTGTTTTAACAAACTTTAATGTCACATCAGTCATTTACGCTCGGCTAACGTATGCACCGTTATGAGTTATAGATACAGTTCCTGCATGTGCACTGCAATAAATTAGAAATATACGCATCGTTTTGTTGATGAACATACAGTTGTTAATGCTGACGGTCAGGAATTACAGTTGCAACATCTCATAATGTATGACAGACTAAGTAGCGTATCACTGAGAAACGTCCTGCTCAAATCGTCCTCGCGATGGAAGTTCGGGTTGAATAACTAGTTCTTCCAATATTTCATCTTAGGACTCGTGCTCGGATTGATATGGTAAAATCAACGCTACCGTTACTGTATTTACAGAGTGTATAATTTCCGACACACGCTGTTAGCGATAGACCAATCACAACAGAGTGGGTCACTTGGCCAATCAGAGCAGAGTAGCTTACGGAAAGGAGGGATTTTTTAGAGAGACTGAATCATCGGACGAGTCGTTTGAGAATCAATGAAAAATGTGGTGATGTGCAATGTATATTATGAAAGTGTTTTTTTTTACCTTTGATGCATGTTGTAGGAGACTTCCAAAACAAAATTAGGAACCTTTAAAATAGCACAATAGGGGCACTTTAATACAACTAAAAGATCCTGTAATTTTCACATTGTATTATAGCCAGCCGTTTAAATTTCATTTTGTTAAAGCACTTTTGTATAATAATCCAAAATTTGCATGCTGACACGTGCTAAAACAAAGAACATTACAAGAATGCTTGTAATTCATTTGAGATCATTTAGGAAATTTCCCCAGAAAAATGTCTTTGAATTAATCTTAGCCAAATTACACAAAATCCATGAGAGCTTGATGCAATTTACAAAGGTAGTGTTCCTCTGTTTTAATTGATCAGATCAACCGAAGAGACAGATATTCCCATAATCCTCTGGTGTAAATTGTGCTGCGAATTTAAAGGTGAACTGTGTGATTTTTGAAACGCTTGCGGCATCCAACAGTTACAAAACGTTCAAACAAACAGGAAGTCCTTTCCCAACTCACACCAGTGGTTGAGCTCAACCAGGGCAATCGTATAAAAGCGCGACTATGAGGTCTAGTTAGCAAATAGATGAGCTGTTTTATCATGTTGTATATGTTTTTATACATTTAAGCTATATGAAAGAATGTAACAGACTTTGCAATCCGGATAAGTAAACACTCCCAGTCAAGTCTTTGGCATTTGGGGACTTCATGTTAAATCAACATACAATTTGAACTGAGACTGCTCATATTTCTAGTCCTTTATCGTCATTTGTGAAGCTAATGTATAGGACAAATGATTTTGGCCTGTTACTTGTTTGTCTACACTCCTGAATTCCCTCTTCTGATGTTCCTGACCCCCGTCTAACTGAGTTTTCTTCATGTTCAACAGCATTTAAACTTTTTTTTTACTGTATTACTGTATAGAATTGTTAACTTAATAGTTTTCATGCCGCTCCTAGAGTCATTCCACTTCAGTATATTTCAGACAAATTATCAAGCAAAAGGGGGAAAAAATGTGTTGCCTTGTCAGAGATTTTAATTGTGCTGTAGTGCTTTGTACAGAATAAACAACAGTACACACTTGTTGCATCCTTGCTGCTGTTTTTATTACCTCCCTGTATATAGTTTGATCTAAATTGTATTTAATTTATTTATTGCATTTGCCAATCATTAATTGTCAGTAATTAAATGGGTTCAATTCCTCTATTCAATTCAACCTCAACTATTCAATTCAAACTATTCAATTCAATCTCACAAAAAAAAAAAAGTCAAGAAATGCTTGGGTCATATTTCACCCCCCAAATACAAATAAATTCTATTTTACATACAGAAAATGAAACAAGTTTTAGGATCATTGACGTGTTTCGCACTGCAACATTTATTTCATGACAATTAAGCACATTTCCACATGCAATTATTAGCCAACAATAATGCGGGGGAAAAATAATATTCTCATTACTGTAACACAAAACTATTCTATTTACATTGTAAACCAAGTATACATAATGGTAACATTTGTTATACTGTACTTTATTATATACTGATTATAATAATACTTTTTTTAATTTTTTTTTTTTTTTTTTACAAATTGTCCAGACAGGATGATTTAATTTCTGTATTACAGTAATGAGAATTTTAGCAGGACAATTGTCATGACAATAATGTCACAACGCAAAACTCTTACAGCTAATTTCATTTCAATCTTCACTTTAATTCTTATTAAAACTGGGGTGAAGCTGTTTTTTAATGTTTAATATACATGTATGTGTGTATATATATATATATATACACACATACAGAATATTCAATGAATAGCATATTATTTTGGTGAGAGTATATCTTAAATAAAAATAAATAACTTGCATATGTGAGTGCAAGCATGAACAGGCAGCAAAGGATGAATATGATATCTTGATAAAAAAAATATTTTCCATGTTGAATTTAGGTGATTACCGCTCAAAGTTAAAAGATTCATTTACAGTATTGACACGAACATGCTGACCGCACACTTGATATTTTATTATTACAATATCAGATCGTTTGTAATGACTTGGGCTGCACAGCTTGTACTATTTTGATACATATTGGTAAAAATGGTCCGTATATGCATGAGGTGTTTAAGATCACATGCTTTAGTTTTTTTTAAGTGACAAATCTTCACGTAATCTCACAGTAAAATGTAACATAGTAAATTAATATTGGGTCCTTCTTTCCTGTAGGATGCCCAGTGAAAATGGCACAATATCAGGATCTCTCCAATTTATCACAAAAACCATGTTTTTTTTTGGCCTCTGAACAGTATTTAATACATTCACAATATGAACCGAGAGCGAACTAAGGCTGTAAAGTTCGCACAAACATGTCTACAACAGGTAGTGTCCCAGTTTACAATATCTTACCCAAACTGCATTGAAGTCAAATTAAATAATCATAGAAATAACTGTAAACATTAACATCACATTCATCAAATGCTGCACATCAACTCACTTTTAGAACGCAAAGGATAGATCTATTAAGTCAATCAGTCGACTGCAAATAATGGCCAACATGATGCAGGAAACTTTGGGCTTGATCTTCAAACAGTAATATTTCCAGATATCAAATTCACCGTGATATTATAATGTCCAAGTGACCATAGTTATAGTTATTAGCCTTTACTATTTTGACAGCATCATTATGATCCAAGAACATAATAATGGGAAACTGCCTTTTACTCTGTGATTTCCCACCCAATGAACATCCAAACCTTTATCGTGAGAAAATGTTTGAACTGGTTTCAGATCTGTGAAAACTGCAACTTGCAAATAGCTTCAACAAAACTGTTCATACATCGGTACAGCGTGACAAATGAAGGGTGTAAACATTACGATCCTCGAAAGATCTATAAAATGGAGACACTTTAAATGATAAAAAGTGATGAATCACTCAAGGCATAGTTTGTGAAAATTGGCAACGATCATCTCCATGCGATGGCATCTGTCCCTAAAGCTTGCTTGGTGTCTTTTTCTTTTTTGGTAAAATGGATTGCCATGCACTGTTGATATTTGCTTCAGTCAATATTCTCAGGTCCACAAAGTGTTCCTGACAAAGAAAAAAATTGTTCATTGCTTGAACACAAGAAAAGGAAGAATCCTTCACCGTCTTCGTTTTCAAAAGCCCAATCTCAACATACTGCACAGCAACAAAAAGAAAAGAAAAAGCAAAACACTCCAGCGGATGCTTTGAGGAGTGTAAAAGACAGAGAGCCTCCAGTCATCCCAGAATAGATCATATGATACAGCAGTTTTTCCTGTGATAGGTCAGTTATGGCAGCAGTTGTCAAAATAAGAGTCCTTCTTTTGCTCGAGATTCACCCCCTTCTCTTCTGTGAGGACACAATACCAAATCAATAAATAAAATAAAAAATAGACAATATCACATTATTTGAGCAATTCTATTCCTATTATTATTTACTTGCTTTAATGGAATTCGTAAATAAAATATTACTAAATGCATTCAGAATTTGATGCATCAAAAGCTTTGGAAATTGCAGTATCACTCAAAGCAAAATGCGTTTAATCGATAATGTAGAAAATTGAACATTGGTGTACATAAGAATCTGTTATAAAATAACTATTAAGGCCCGTTCACACCAGGGACAATAACTATTAGAGGATATCGTTGGAATCAATTTTTTTCCAGCTAATTAACTATGAAAACACTATGTTTACATGCACAACTTTTGTTTCAATCGGGACTGAATTGATTCCGATTGATGAATCTGAATCTTTACATGAGCGCTAAACATGTGATCGGATTGATCTGCGCGTTTATATGTCACAAGCTACTAATCGGAATATATATTTTTTGACGTGCACACTGCACAAATTTAGTTTCCCTCTGTTTGCGCATATAACCATTCTCCTACATTGGTTCTTTATTTGTTTTAAACAGCAGACTTAATATTTATCCATTTCTGGTCATAATTTGAAGAAAATGAACATATGAACCGTTTTGCCGTGTTGCTTATATTTATCACGCAGTAAAAATGCCGGTAACACTTTACTTGAAGGGGTGTACATAAGACTGACATGACACCTTCATAACCATGACATGACATATGTCATGAATATGAAGTAGGGTTTATGCATGTTTATGACAACTGTCATTAAGTGTCTTTCGCTCAATAATGACATTTGAATGCAAATATGACATTGTTTAAGATGTCTTTGTTATGACACCTTGACATAAACCATAACATCATAACCTGTCAGTGTCTTTGTCATGACAACTTGACATTAAGTTAAACTGTCCTGTGGTTGGTTTTGACATTGGCTGTCATAAGGCCATTATAACTGTGTCATGAATATTTTTCGTGACCTCAACTACAGTGGTACAAATTGAATTTGTCATTAAACAGTTATAATGCCTCATGACAGCCAATGTCAAAACCAACCATCTGACAGTTTAATGTAATGTTAACCAATAAAGCTAAGTGGTTTCTTAAGTTTGATAATTAATCTGCTATGTCATGTTTATGACAGGTTGTGTTGTCTTAGTAATGTCAAGTTGTCATGACAAAGACACTGACAGGTTATGATGTATTGGTTTATGTCAAGGAGGTGTCATAACAAAGACATCTCAAACAAAGTCATATTTGCATTAAACATTTCATAATTGAGCGAATGACACTTAATGACAGTTGTCACAAACATGCATACAAATTCATTCATATTCATAACATGTGTCATGTCATGATTATGAAGGTGTCATGTTAGTCTTATGCACACCCCTTCAAGTAAGGTGTTACCAAAATGCCTCTCCCTGCGCCCAAAAACAAGTCCGAAACAAGGACTGGTGGGACGTTGTCCTGCTCCACTTCACAGACGCTGAGTGAAAGGAGAATTTTAGAATGACGGGACACTCGTTTATACTGTACGACACTTTATTCATCAGGAGTTCTGTGCGTCATACGTCATTACGCTGTTTCAACGTCATTGCACAACAGTTTCGGTTTTCAATCCGATCAAGTGTTTACATGTCCTCTCGATCGGATTAGAAAAGGAATAAACCTTTTAGAAAAGGAATCAATTTCATTCGGATCGAGCTCAATGCGATCGACTAAGGCGTTTACATGAAGGATTTTCAGTCCGATTGAGCCGTCAATCCGATTATTAACGGATTTTTGGTTGCATATGTAAACGTAGCCAATCAGAATCCATTTCACTTTAAAGAGCTCAAGCATTTATAGTGGCTTACGGCAAACCTGCAGCGCGCGCTTAGAATAAACAGTTGTTTATTCTCAACATATTGTTCGTTGGTGTGAACGCTAATGTAGTTATCGCTCTTGGTGTGAACGAGTCTTTTCAAAGGCAGGTATTTCAAAGCCTGCACATCTTTGCACACACATTAAGATATCATGAATGTGGGCTGCATCTTTGTTTCCCCACAAAGACAAGCAGTTTACCAAGGTCATTGTAGTGAAGTTTCTGTGCTTTTTCATGCCTATGCTAAGCATCAAGTAACTGACAGAGTGCTACAGTTGTTAGCATGAAAGCTGGTGTACCTGAAGCACACAGGACCAGGTGTATAGTGTAAAAAAAATAAATGTGTTTTTCCAAGATTTATTTTGCGGAAAAAAATTCCCACCTTGCATGAACTCTAAAGCACAGCTACTGAAATCATCAGCCACCTTCTGAAACACCTCATCTGTACGGGAATAAAGAAATCAAGAAGTGAAACTTCTCGGTATGTAATAGCACGTTACACATAAGTAGTGCTCGACAGAGCAGACACACTGAAGTATCACTTACCAACATTTTTTCCTGTTTTGCTGGAGGTCTCGAAATGTTGAGCACCAATTTCTGCAAAGAAAAGTTAGTTTTTTTCGAATTGTTTTGCATGAAAAAAACAACAACAACTAAATTCATGCTTACCATCTGCAAAGTCTTGAACATCATGGAAGTCTACTTGCCGCACACTTCGGTCGGCTTCAATGAGGTCACTCTTGGTACCACACAAATATATCTTGCAGTGCTGAAAATAAAATAATGCGTCGTCAATGAAGTGCTGAATGATCTTAAGACGTTCCTGTTGTTGTGAGACGTGGGTATGTTTTACCTCTTCACAGTTCTGTAACTCCTTCACCCAGAACCTGGCCCTTTTAAAACTGCTGCTGTCAGTCAGATCTAAGTGCAAAAGTCAGACAACCACATATTTAAGATAAAAATGTAATGTTTTCCAACTTTTCTCTTGCAAGGGACTCATTTTCCTATGATTATTTCCATGTACACTACCACCGAAAGTTTGGAGTTGGAATTTTTTTTTTCATTCAACAAGGACGCATCAAATTGACATTTGTAACATAATGAATATCATTTTAAAATATCTGTTATTTTAAATCATAATAATATTTCACAATGTTAGTTTTTTTTTTACTGTATTTTTTATTAAATAAATGCAGGCTTGTTGAGCTTCTTTAAAAAACATAAAAAAAACTCAGATCCCAAACTTTTTAAATACAAACTCATGTATAATGTATGAGAAACGCTCATCAAGCCTGCGTTTATTTGATCAAACATACAGAAATGTTGTGAAATATTATTACAATTTTAAATAATGGTTTTCTATCAGCATCATTACTCCAGTCTTCAGTGTCACATGATCTTACAGAAATCATTCTAATATGCGGATTTATTATCAATGTTGGAAACAGTTGTGCTGCTTAATATTTTTTTATAACCTGTGATACTTTTTTTCAGGATACTTTGGTGAATAAAAAGTGAAAAAAGAACAGCATTTAATTAAAATAGAAATCTTTTGTAACAATATACACTACCGTTCAAAACTTTGGGGTCAGTCATTTTTTCTCTTTCTTTTTTTTTTGTTGAAATAAATTAATACTTTTATTCAGCAAGGATGTGTTAAATTGATTAAAAAAAGTGATAGTAAAGATTTATATTGTTATTCTATTTTGAATAAATGCTGTTCTTTTCAACCTTTTATTAATAAATGAATCCTGAAAAAAGTATCACAGGTTCCTAAAAATAATAAGCCACACAACTGTACCCAACGTTGATAATAAATCAGCAAGTTACAATGATTTCCGAAAGATCAAAGGCTAATGAAAAGCATAAGAGATTTTTTTCAAAAACATTAAATATAGTAATATTTCCAAACTTTTGATTGGTACTATACACTCACCGGCCACTTTATTAGGTACCCCATGCTAGTAACGGGTTGGACCCCCTTTTGCCTTCAGAACTGCCTCAATTCTTCGTGGCATAGATTCAACAAGGTGCTGGAAGCATTCCTCAGGGAGTTTGGTCCATATTGACATGATGGCATCACACAGTTGCCGCAGATTTGTCGGCTGCACATCCATGATGCGAATCTCCCGTTCCACCACATCCCAAAGATGCTCTATTGGGTTGAGATCTGGTGACTGTGGAGGCCATTTTAGTACAGTGAACTCATTGTCATGTTCAAGAAACCAATTTGAAATGATTAGAGCTTTGTGACATGGTGGAAGTAGCCATCAGAGGATGGGTACATGGTGGCCATAAAGGGATGGACATGGTCAGAAACAATGCTCAGGTAGGCCATGGCATTTAAACGATGCCCAATTGGCACTAAGGGGCCTAAAGTGTGCCAGGAATACATCCCCCACACCATTACACCACCACCACCAGCCTGCACAGTGGTAACAAGGCATGATGGTTCCATGTTCTCATTCTGTTTACGCCAAATTCTGACTCTAACATCTGAATGTCTCAACAGAAATCGAGACTCATCAGACCAGGCAACATTTTTCCAGTCTTCAACTGTTCAATTTTGGTGAGCTCTTGTAGCCTCTTTTTCCTATTTGTAGTGGAGATGAGTGGTACCCGGTGGAGTCTTCTGCTGTTGTAGCCCATCCGCCTCAAGGTTGTGCGTGTTGTGGCTTCACAAATGCTTTGCTGCATACCTCGGTTGTAACGAGTGGTTATTTCAGTCACTGTTGCCCTTCTATCAGCTCGAACCAGTCTGGCCATTCTCCTCTGACCTCTGGCATCAACAAGGCATTTCCGCCCACAGAACTGCCGCTCACTGGATGTTTTTTCTTTTTCGGACCATTCTCTGTAAACCCTAGAGATGGTTGTGCGTGAAAATCCCAGTAGATTAGCAGTTTCTGAAATACTCAGACCAGCCCTTCTGGCACCAACAATCATGCCACGTTCAAAGTCACTCAAATCAACTTTCTTCCCCATACTGATGCTCGGTTTGAACTGCAGGAGATTGTCTTGACCATGTCTACATGCCTAAATGCACTGAGTTGCCGCCATGTGATTGGCTGCTTAGAAATTAAGTGTTAACGAGCAGTTGGACAGGTGTACCTAATAAAGTGGCCGGTGAGTGTATATATATATATATATATATATATATACACAGTACACACATTCACACACATGATTATAAAATAGTATAAAAACATTTTAGATCAGTCAAAAAAAGAACAAAATAGTAACAAAAAAATAATAAAAAAATTTAATTGAACATATTTCGTTATATTAACATATTTTAACAGCCCTAAGCCTTTTTTTTCTCTCCCAAACTTTTAAGTAGCCCTGATTAACTTAGAACTTATTTGAACCAAACACATGAACTGCCTTGAAGGACTGGGAACTACTGTAAAACAGACACAGAGTGAGCAAGTATGAGCCGTTTTCTTGCTCATCGTCACCTGACTGCTAGACTAGCTGGTACATCCTGCAAACTTTCCATGTCAAACTGTGAGAGAGGGATATACCATAGCAGACGATGGCAGCACGGGCTCCTCTGTAATAGATTCTGCTCATGGCCTCGTAACGTTCAGACCCAGCGGTGTCCTGAGGTGAAAGAAAACACATGAAGTCACTAATAAGTGGTTGACAAGCGTATATGAAGACCCTAGCAACAACACTTACCCATATTCCCAGCGTAACCACTTTGTCACCGACATTGAGGGCTTTTGCAACAAACGCAGCCCCTATAGTCTTAATGAGACGAAAACAAATGAACACGTCAAGGCTAGCAACATCATATCAGATCATTGACATCAGTGGAAGGAAGGTGGCTTTACCTGTGCAGCTGGTTTATGTGACACATGATTAGAGCTGATACTCAGGCAAATGTACATCTTACACAAAAATGTCTTTACTGAGAACAAACAATCTCCGAAGATTTATTAGCTATGGCCAAATGACCATAACGAATTACTTCTTCAGGTTTCTATGCAAACGCATGCTTACATTTTGATAAGGTCCAACAAGAAAGCGGCGATGTACGTATCTTTCCACCAGGCTGGTTTTACCTACACTCTCCTTGCCCAGCATGACCACCTTAGCGTCCACTCGCATGGCAGTCATGATTATTTTGGTTTGTAGAAAAAGACACTAGAAAAAAAACATAGGTCCATTGTGTAGACAAATATATACACACACTGTAAATATGTACATGACATCCATTGTGAAAATGAAGTGTGCTTAATTGTTTTGAAAGTGCACTTGTAGTGTACTTCAAATATTGAAGGTATATTTAATAAAAAATACTTGCAGTAATATAATATTAATGAATAAAAAGCCACTTAAGTGTCCTTAAAGAGAGTAAACTTACATGACTGTTTCTTATTACGCCTAAGTACACCTTTAAAAAGTACACTTTGCAATAATGTCAAATTAAACATTTTTCTTTGAAGTACATTTTAAATGTTTCGCTGTGTTTATGTAGTACTTATTTTGATGTGTTGACTAAGATGGTAAAGGACATTTGACATGTAAAGTACTTGATGTTATCCGATTATTATTCGAGTTTACATTTAAAGTTCATTTTAAATATAGTAAATTTCAACATCATTACAAATGTGTAATTATAAAGGAATTTAAACAAATGACAAAGGTTTTTACAAAACAAGTCTTGTCAGTAACGTTACATCACGCAGTACACTTTAATCACATTTGAAAGACAATATAAGTAATTACGAAATTACATATAAAGATAAACTTCTTAAATATGCCAAAAAGCACAGTTGGTTAAATTGAAAGAGTATTTCATATAAATTTTTATTATACAACATGTGTCCGAGAACATTACGTTCAGTTAGCATTTAAATATATTACTTTCGACATAAATAGAATGCTTTTTAATGTAACGTTACAGTATGCTTAAAGTGTTGTAATGGAAGAAATCAAAGCTAGCTTTGGCTAATGCGCAGTTTCAGTTTATCAAGAAAAATATTGTCTATATGAAACACACTAGAGGTTTGTTGACCTTCTCATTATTTTCACTCACCTGTGTATTAGTTGACGGGACTTCAGGGCGACTTTACTGACAGATGAATACTGTAACTGGGTGGCTAATGGTTCAGTTAGCAATCCACACTGACGTGCCAGTGAAAACTCCTAATAATACTAACGTTACAGTTAAAGACTACTTGATGAATAAATACATAAGAAGCAGCGAATCACAAGACACCTCGAACCAAGGACACGGGCAAAAATAAAATATTCAGTGTTCACCGTAAAACGAAAGAAAAACAAACAGCTTAGATTTCAACATCACTAACTAAATACAGCAGAGCTAGATCATTTCCGAGCCATGTTTTTCCCGTTAACAAGGGAAAACTACAGTAAATGGTCTGACAGATGTTAGATGTATTCGGTGGAAGAGGAACTGTAAGTTAGTGTGTCTAGCTAGCCTGGAATAAACTAGTGTGTGTGTGTTTTTGTTTATATAGAGGAGGATGTGACTTCACTAGGGTCAGTGGTTGTGTCTCAAATGGCGATGTATGAATCGGGAAACAATTGTTCTTAAGAGTCGGAACTGTTCGTTGACGGGTCAGAGTGAATCGGTTCCAGCGTTTCTGGGGGGTTTTGTCTGGAATGAAACGTACTGGAAATATGTTTACGTTTATGAATTACAACTAATTATAGTGCAAAACGTGCAAAAATATTTGGCACGGAAAATGCTAGCATTGTTTCATGTAAATGCGTATTGTAATTAGGTCCAAAATATCTTTTAATAAGTTAAATCGCAATGTACGAATTGAACTTGGACAAATTAAATTTGTACAAATTCTCGTTAACAACACCTAATCGAAAAAAAACATAATATAGCTTTATTGTAACGTTTAACGCTTGCAATATGTCACGCCGGTAGGTCAGAGACCACGTTATCTTTTTAAAATCAGTTGCTTAAAACGAACTGTTCGAAAGAACCGATTCGCAGAAATGATTCAGACGTCCTATTACTATATAGGCACGTGTTGCAGTTTGCAGTCTAAACCGCTGCTGATTGGTTGCTCGAGTCACTTGTCGCGTCACAGTTGGGTGAATCTCTCTGTGATTGGTTGCTTGTCTCCACCACTCATCCTTTCTTCATCCCGAGTGGCTGCGCTGCTTCGGCACCGCCCCGGTGGCCAAAATGCGGTCTAGGTAGTCGACTCTGTACGTTTTGAAACACAACCGAACCGAGTTTTCAGGGGAGGAGAAGCTGAGTTCATGTGAAAATGGCGTCTCCGAAAACAGTGCCTAAAGATGCACAGGTAAATAATGAATCAGAAACGGTTTTATCACTGTGCTGTGCACCATTCTTTGTAATTTAACAATAGCGATTAAAGCAGCATGATTAAAGAGTGCATTTTATTCATCTTACTTGTTCTTCTTTGTGGACATACATGCGTTAGCACGCTAACTGGTCCACTGACTGTAATGCAGTGGTTTGAGTTTCAATTTGGCGCGGTTCTATCACGTTGTGTTATTATTTGCCATATTTTTTGGGAATATGAAGGTTTTCCATGTATGATTTATTTACAAATGTGAAGTAAGATGTGCACGGACTGCAAATAACCGTCGAATTGATGCTAATAAAGCATGCATAATATTTCCCTTTCGCATTTTTTGCTTTCTTATTTTATTATTATTATCTTTAAAGGTTATGATGCAGATTCTTAAAGACATGGGGGTCACGGAGTACGAGCCTAGAGTGATCAATCAAATGCTGGAGTTTACATACAGTAAGTCAGGATGCCTTTAATGAAATCAAAATTGACAATGCTTATTTGTTCATTGAACATTGCAACATTTATTATGAATGATTTATCTATGCAACAAGTCATTCTTTTTTTTAATTCATGTGCTCTCTTAATATTTAATCAAAATAACTCGCAACGACATCACTTCTCTGATGACGTGTTTAGTGGCGCGAGGGCGGGACAACCTGTCGCTCACATGACATCACATCACAGCAATGGCAAACCACAACAATCCAATCTAGTCCCGTCCCGCCCTACGTTTTTTCTTGTTCAAGAAGCCACTTCACTCAGATGTACGGAAGAAAAGACTATCTGCTTCATGCCATCTTTTAAGTATATTGTTAAATGCATTAAGATAAAATGTTAAAGCACTCCAGCAATAACCTTTCTGTACTAGTAAATCGTCCAATAACATTTTAATGTTTTTATACAGGATACGTAACCACTATTATTGAGGATGCAAAAATATATTCCACCCATGCCAAGAAGTCCAGTGTGGATGCAGATGACATAAGGTTAGCAATCCAGTGTCGAGTGGATCAGTCGTTCACGTCTCCTCCGCCACGAGATGTAAGTCTCTCTTGATGACTAATTCATAACTCATATGTGACTTCTGGTAATTAATTAACGGTGCTGTTTGGTCCATGGTTTCAGTTTCTGTTGGACATTGCAAGGCAGAAGAACCAAACCCCTTTGCCCCTGATCAAACCGTACACCGGTCCACGTCTTCCACCAGACCGCTACTGTCTCACCGCACCAAACTACAGACTGAAGTCCCTGCAGAAAAAGGTATTACTTTAGATGATATGTGATAATATACAGTTTTAGTCCGTCTGGTCAAAGTTTTGGATTTGGTGATCTATGGATATTTGAGATTTATTACTGCTGTAATTGTACCTAACTTTTTTGGCTCAGAGGCCCACCTTTTATCCACGACAATATTCAAATCCATAGTTTTGTTTTTCAAAACGTATTTTAATTTATGGGATTATCTATTTTCTGTTGATTTAAAAAAAAGAAAAAAAAATATTATTGTTATGATTTAAGGTTTCCAAAATTTTTTAGACGCTAATTGCTGAATGTGGGATCTCAACTCTTTTCACCAAAGTAATTTAAAAAAGTGTAGTCACAATTTTCAGTGAAAGTTTGCGGGGAAAAGGTCCTGTGTGTAGAAAGCACTGCTTACAAAGAAGTCACTTTTCAAATCAAGCAACTTTGTTGGCCAACACGAAAAAATTCACATGATTGCAAAACCCATTGCCAAATCTGTGGGGATTTTTTTTTTTTTTACCTCCACGTGGAATTCACAGAAAAATGGTAAATGTGATATATATATATATATATATATACAGTATATATATATTTACTTACTATATAGATTTAATTCTTTAAATGCATATGGTATTTTATTAATTTACATGGCCTTTCCAAGTAACCAGCGTTAGTTTAGAATCTTTGAAATACTATTTATTCATATTTTGAATTTGTTCATACATATATATATATATATATATATATATATATATATATTAGGGGTGGCACGGTTCACAAAACCCACGGTTCGGTTTGTATCACGGTTTTCGGTTCTCTACGGTTCTTGTTGTTATTTAACACTCCAGAAATGGACTTCAGCATATGATATATAGCTTAATTATCCACAATTTAGGATACAGTATTAAAAAAATTTTTATATCATGCACAAACTGAATTTTACTTGACTATAAGCACATTATTGGGACCATCTCCGAGGAAAGCTAGGTAAGATTTTGATACAGCAAGAGAGAAGATATTGATGACATGCTTTTCGTTTATTTGGCAAAAAAAAGGAGAATGTGTATCACTATCTCTACAGGAATTTTTGCATTTTTGCATTTTTAGCACACAAATATTGAAATTAACTTGCATTTATCAAACTGCCAACTTAAGTGTAGAGAGGAACTCTTAAAACTCTGTCTTTTAAATAAGTCAAAATACATGAAACATAATTTACTATAATTAGGCTATAGCAATAGCAAAGGCCATAATCATAAAGTGAAACATAAGTTCAACCTCAACACAAAAACAGTATCAACAATGCTTCTATTCCCTGAGAGTGAGGATACATTTTTTTAAATCCAAAATGTTCCCACACACCGGACTTATATGACGCTGGCGCATCCACATTAGCCTTCCTTATCTCTCCCACTTGCCATTTCTCCGCGTGACGTGACACGACACTCCATACTCCACTTTTACTGGCGTGTTCGACTTGAACCGGCGCTACACAGAGCGATCGGTTTATGACATCAGAGTACCGCGAGAGTTGTTGAAAAGCCACGGAGCCGTCGCTCTCGCGGTACTTTGATGTTATTCACCGATCGCTCTGTGCAGCGCCGGTTCAAGTTGAACAAGCCTCATATGTATGTCCACACGTCTTATTTCGCGTGAAAAGGAAACACACGTCTGAGGTCACATACGGGCACGAGGCTACACGAACCGTAAGACGCACACACGCTCCGAACCGAGACAAGCGAACCGAACGGTTCGGGTGTTTTTTCATGTACCGTGCCACCCCTAATATATATATTTATTAGGGCTGGGCAACGATTAATCGTGATTAATCGCATCCAAAATAAAAGTTTGTGTTTACATAATATATGTGTGTGTAGTGTGTATAATTATTTTGTATATATAAATACACACACATGCATGTATATATTTAAGAAAAATGTGTTATTAATATATCAAATGTTTATATATAATATTATGTATAAATTAGGGGTGTAACGATATTTGAACCGAACCGAAAAACCGCGATACACCACCCACGATACGTATCGCGATACTCTCATGGCGAACCGAACACGCCCCGCCCCCTGCTGCCCCGCCCAGCCCCGGCTCATTGCACCTCATGCGTTATGTGTACACAACGAATACAGGGCTGTTGCCTAACCACCATTAACCACATATAATCGCAATAAGCTCAGTGTTTTGTTACTTTTGATAATAAGCAAGGTGTAATCTTTCAAATTATGTCTATTTGATCACGAAATGCAAACAATAAATGCCGTTTTGGCGCTCTTAGATGTGGCGTGACAGATATCACTGTATGCATGCGGCAGCGCGGAGCGCGATCATCTCTTCCTCAGTTACAGAATAAACATGAATGGACACCCGAAGGTATGTTTAAAGATACAGTATACTTACTGAAAGGCATCATAACTCGTGTAAACACTCAATCAGTGTTTCAACAGCGGAAATACGTCAATAAAACGCTTAGTTTTTCACATAGCTTTATAACCTCAGGCAAGTCATTCAGTGTCCACAGCTTGCTGGTTTGCTAACTCTTTCACTAAATAAATGCTATATATTAGCCTATATATTATATTTTACTTAACCTGTTTATGATATCTTGATTATTTAATGTATGTTTAAAATAGTTGTCATGAAAATAACAGCAACTGTGTAAATTATTATATAACAATAACAAATTAGAGTAAAACATGTTAATGCAAAAATTGCCTTATGTGCAGTTTACATGTTTTCATACAATTTGTTATTTGAGTGTTGATTATTATTATATCAATTAGGCTAAAAGTAGGCTCTGTTGTTAAGCTTTAATGTTATAGTAATGTGCAAGTAAGGGCTGTAGTTTACAGCATTAGCAGATAATTTTGTTATCCTTGAGAAACGTTTACT